CACTGTGACTAAGTAATACACAACAAAGTTGAGAACTGCTGTTATTTCCTGCTGCTTCTGCCCTCTCATGGTATTACAGTTTTGAGTTAGACACTACAGAGAACAATTCAGAGCCACGCAAAAATCACATTCATTTTTTTCTCTTAAATACTGTTTTTCTAAGTGGAACAACTTAATCAGCCTGAATAAGCTGGGAACATGAAATGCTAAGTTTTTCACTTCACTGAACTACACAAAGATAAAAATAAGGAAGGAATAAAAATACATTACCAGTTCACATATTTGAGTTGCTTCTGGTCTTCCAGAAACCCTGAAAAGAAAGCAGTAAAATACCTTACTCTGCCAATGATGTTACACACGAGATGGAAGAAACGAGGGGAAGAGTGAATTGATCAGTTATGCAAATTTAAAGAAGTTAAAAGAAAGCTTGAAACCAAACCATCACACACGTGTCCCTAAGAAAACAGACTGGGCATTTTACCCTTACCCTCTTAGGTGATGAAACCCTCTGTACATGAAGCCTAGGTACTCAGGCAACACAATGATCAGTAAAAATTTTGAAGTAAAATCCAGTGTTAATTAGAAGATGAGATCTCAAAAGGAATTAAAAGAATCTAGTTACAAAGGTAGTTTGCAAAAAAGTGAATCAGAGACTGAGACTACTAGCACTAAATATTGGTCTGTGAAGTGGGAAAAAGATACAAACTAAAGGAACACCAGCATTAATTAACCATTGTTTGGACTGCAATTCTCCAAAGAAGCCACTGCACAAGCTGGGCTTAAACTAACCTCGGTTCCTTCAAAAAGATGCAGAGTTTTGTGTGGGACTCAACATCAGTGTACAGGGTGACACACGGGACATTCCCTCCAGCAGGCCTTCATCCCAATCCACACAGGCCAGGAGGGGACACAGACAACAGACCTTAACACTGTGTGCCTGCTTCTAAAGGCTTTTTACAGCAGCACCACAGATCACACAGCATCTGGACTAAGCAGCTCTTTCCTCAGAAGTTTACATGCGGGTACAAAAGGAAGGTGGTCATTTTGACAGACGGGCAGGCATCCCACTCAGGAGGGAATCACTCTTGTTACACAGATCTTCGCTGCTCTATTGTCAAACCCCTTCCGAGATCAGAAAGGAGTAAACAGCGGGAAAGCGGGACCCAGACAAGCCAAGAGACTGGCCTGCTATCAAAACGAGTGCCCACCTCGCACCGCTCCGCTTCCCCGCTCCTCGCGGCAGCCTCCGGGCTGCGTCACAGGAGTTTACATTTGTTGTAAGTAAACCCGAGGTGAGATTTCCTGCTCACAAGCCATGCAGCCGCAGCTCCCCTCCTTCCCTCGGATCCCAGGGGCAGCGTGACAGGGAGCGGCCGCCGGGCCCGGGCAGAACGGGGCTCCTCGGCCTGCAGCCCCGGCACCGAACGGCGGCCAAGGGCGGCCCCGCGCGGGCTGGCCCAGCTCGGCACTCACTTGTCATAGAACGGGTGCTCCTCGCCGAACTCCCGCAGGTGCTTCTTCTGCTTCTTGCTCAGGCTGCGCAGCAGCTCCCGCCCGGCCCGCCGCTTGCCCATGCCGGCCCCGCTCCGCTCCGCTCCACGTGTGTGCCCGGCGCGCTGCGCTGTCGCACGGCGGGGCGGTGCTCGCAGCCCGGCGCCGCCCGGGGATGCCGGGGCGGCCGTCGCACCCTGGGAAGGCGGGGCCGCGGGCGGCTGGAAGGAGCGGCGGAGCGGGGGGTGAGCTCAGGGGCCGGGCCTCGCCCCGCCGGCGGCGGCCAGCGTGCCGTGCCGGGAGCACGCGTGTTTGTGCCTGCGAACCTCGCTGGGGAACACAAAGTGCCGGCAGGGAGCACCTGCCCCAGGCTGTGTCCAAATCCAACGCCGTCCCGAAGCTGCGGCCCGCCGTCCCGGCTTGGTGCGGGCCGTGACGTGTTTCCGCTGCCGGAGCCGCGGTGAGGCCGGCGGGCAGCGTGTGCGCCAGCTGGAGCTGCTCTCCAGGCTTCGGATGTCCAGACACTACTGGAGCTACAGAGCTTTCTCCAACTGACTCATGACCTGCAGTGCTGTGCTAAACGCTACGCATTTTCTGGGAAAACCTCTACAATCAGGCTAGAGGAAGAGACCCAACACAAGTCCTTAATGTTCAGACTGCCTCATTCTAAAAGGTGCCATCAAAAGCTCCAAATTAAACCCTACTAAATTCTGGCTTTTCTAACATGTCACTGCTGAATTTTACTGAGTGCTGCTTAAGCGTGCTTCACTGATAATGGAGACAAACAGTTTTTCAGAAACTATAAATTGTGCCAAATAAAGTAAATTCATTCTCAGTTCTTTGAATTCCTTATATCCCCGTGTTTCTGTATGGCCTAGGCTGAAACTCCTTTAATCTTTAATAATGAGGGGCTATACGTTTTGTTGAAATGTGCAAACCACACACAATAGATTTCAGTTTGTCCCTGGGAGTAATAAGAGAGTAACTGAGAGTAATTCCAAATAGGACGGAGGCATGGAATATTTTAGGGGAAAAGAGTTAAGCATTTGGATTGTAGCTACTTGACTGTCTTGACCTGAGGGCACACATGGAAACAAGCAAGCACATCAACTGCACTTCAGTTACAAAGAAGCCTCCAGGAGTTACTCCTGCGTGTTGTCAATCCCACGGTCTGTCCCTTCAATAAACCCCTCTGTCTTGGGGGAAATTGTCTCCATCCAAACGATTCTACCGACGTGCTTTACCCAGTATCCCACAGCACACAGACAGCAGCAGCAGTTGGCTGTGCCCAGCAGCAGAAATTGCCTTGGCAGGTTCTGTCAAAGCTAACATGTTACATAACACAAAAATAAACGATTTCCAACTACCAGGGCTTTTTGGTAAAGTTGGTAGTCAGGCTCTGTAAGAGGAAGAATATTACAAATCAATCCCACTTCTGTCAGGAATGTGAAAAAGGCAGCACATTTTTATGTTGCAAATTTGTTTCTTGTTGACTTAGAATTTGGCATTGGGAGTCAACAGGAAGAGCAGAAGTCTTCAGAGGTGAATCAGGAGGAACTCTCTGGGGATTGCATTCTTGTGTGTTAAAAAGTGAAAATTAGAGGACCTTGGTGACAGTAATCCTGTAGCTCCATTGTTGTTTGTACACTCTTTCCAAAATTCTGGCCATGATAGTAGTTCACACTACTTTGTGGAGTTTCAGTCTGCTTTTTAATACTGCCTTATGAATTAAAAATGCATTGATGTTATTATTTTGTGATGTTCTGAATGCCAGCACTGCTTCTGTGGCCACTTATTCTTTTCACTAGAATGGGAAAGCTTTTCTAGCAGCCTAGAAGATTTGGTCCTGTAGCCTGAAGTCTACTTCACCCCCTTTTCCTCTCTCCATCCTGACTTCAATTTAACCATTGATATAACCAGTGATATTCCTGGGACTGTTTCCCTCTTTCCATTCAACTCCTTCCTCCTTCCTCCCCATTCCTCGTGAGAAGGATCCTACTTGAGCAGTATTAGGTGTTCAGGATTAAACTACTTAAAACATTGTGGTGGCACTGATGTCTTAGAAGATGTGTTTCCCAGGAAATGAACTCCTCAGTTTCTCTGTGATGAGGCATGGGCAGTAAAGCGGCACTGATGCTGATATCCCATAGACCAGCAAACATGTCACTACTGTTATATCATAATCTCTTCCTTAAATTAGATTTCTCCACTTGAAAATGTTAAATCAAATTTTTTTAATGATTTTGTAAAATCACCCTGGAGCTCCTAGTTGCTAACATGGTAACATACCACCAGCAATGTTCTTTTCACAGATTTCTTATGCATCAGCATCTCTGATTCCAGCAATAATACTGGATAGAAAAGGAAGGAGAAAAGCTTACATTATTTGAAATCTGTTCTGCTGACCCCATTCTGTCAGCAGCCGCAGCTAAACCCCGTCAGCAGAAGTCTGCTGCTGCTACCTGTGTTTCTCCAGCACTTTTATCTGCACGGTGTTCCAGAGACAGATGGTTTATAAAAGCCACTTCATTTATTTTAGAGAGCTCTACTAATCTGAACACAACAGATCCCTCCTTGCTGGCTTATTGCCTTCACTCTTTTGTTTCACAGCAACTCCCTTTCACGCCTTTCTTCATACCTGTTTTCCACCTCTGGTTTTGCCCTTTCCCTTGTGAGATTTTTTCATTTTAGTGTCTGCTTCTAATTGGAACAGATGTGTTGTTCCCACACTTTCTATCCAAATTCACGAATTAAGAGCTAAAACTTCAAATCATTTTGCCCTAAGTTACTTAGGCAGTGTAAATTACACAATGGACTGTCATATATAGCTTATGAAGTTGAATGCTTATTTATTTATATTGTATGCACTTCTATGGATATAATGAAAAGAGAGATGTGTAAGTTACAACACTGGCTTGTAGCAAAGAGAAAAGTAAGAAAGGAGTTCATGTCTTCCCTTTCTTTCCCTTTTCCCATCACTGCTTTCATATTCAAACTGAAATTCTAGCAAGGTAGGAATGTGATGCACATTCCTGTGAAGCACACAGCTCTGCTGTGATGCATGGAACATCCCATGTGGCACAGATTGCCTTTGTTTAAGGGAATGAAATTGTGATCCTGACAATTTTCCTATATGGATGCAAAAGTGGGCACTTCAGACAGGGATCATTTAAACTTTGGATATCTGACTCCTAAGAACACAACAGAGCATGCTCAAACTCTGATGTCAATAAATGGTATGAAGCATGGGGTTTGTATTGCAACTACAAATTTTCTGACTGAAAAGCAGAGGAGCTGGTCACTAGAAAGGAAGATTACGTGAGACAAAACCTGAAGCAATGGTTGGAGTGTTGCTGTTGGCACTCACTAAGAAATGTGGCAGGAAGCAAAACTGGAGAAATGTGGTGTAAGTAGGAGAAAAGAAGCTGGGAAATAGTTTATCCAAAATTGATAAATTGATAACAATCCGGCACCCCTCAACATTAAACATTACACAAACACAAAATGGATTTGCAGTATTTCAGCATTCAGAAGCCATTTAGTATCAAAAGGAGATGGTGAATTTATATTTACATATATATGCACATACTTTTACATATATAAGTAAAAATAAACTTTACCTTTCTACAAACTTGTTATAAATGACCACAGTCACTGATCAGAGAATACAGTCAAACTTCTCCACTTCACTGCAGTTCAGTCTACATGTACTGGAGTTATGAGCAAGAATAACTTGATGAAACAAGAGTTCATATAATTTCTTTATACAAGAACCTTTATTTAACAATGGACTGTCTCAGTAAATGAGGTTGATAGTAGCAATGAATTTCAGTACTAATGGAGCCAAGTACCTGGTGTGTTCATGACTTTACTTCAGTTTCTTCTACTTGAGGTAGTGTATCCCAAACAGGTTTCTGAATGTGTTCTGGTATTTTCTCTATCTTAGTCTAAGAGGAAAGAAAAACAACCATTTACTGTACCAGCCAGCTAACATCTAAATACTTTGCTTTACTTATTCTGGTTCGAGACATGACTCAGATTTAAAATGCCACCTAGTGGCACTTCCAAGCGAGACAGCCTCTTTACCATGTTAATACTTCGGAAAATTTTCCTATCAAACTACACCCATTTTCTCGACCGACTTTCTAAAGACTTCAGTAGTTACTGGTATTTGCATTAGGACTCATAAAAGTTAATAATGTGGGATGGAAACTGACCTTTTTCACTTCCATGGCAACCCCTTCAGGTAAGTTTCGTTGCACATACTCCAAGTAAACTGCAGCAGTACTGCCTGTTAGGTATTTTAACTAAAACAAAAATAATTTTTTTAATGAACTATAATTAATAATACTTCAAACAGAATTTAAAAAATTGCCCTAGTTTCTTTAGCCCTTGCTACTGGACCCAACATCTTACAGGAAGCCATCTTCCATAATATTCTGAACAGAAGCAGTTCAAATTTACTCAATCCTCATGCAAGTATAAAGTAGTTACTCAGAACTGCACATGCTGCCTGGGAGCACATGCATTGATTAAGCTGGAAGTGGTGGATCTCAACACTGCAGGTATCAGATGAAATTAATTACAGATTATGCAAGAATCACCAGCTTTTCTATACTCCCAAAGTTTAAACTTGTTATAAATCCTGCAACTCCAGAGTTCCACTGAAATACTGATTTTTTCGTTTCTCCTGGTTCCACTGAATTACTGATCTTTTAATTTTTCCTGGAAGGTAAAAATAGTGCTTATGGTCTGTGGGCAGCCACTTGTACTGCACTCATGTCAAGGGACTTAAAGTCCCATTTTGCTAAGCACTGTGCAAATATACAGTAAGACTCCCAGGAGCCACAAAATGCTGGCAGTAAACCTTTCTTCTAAGAAAGTCAACCACAGCTGCATTCTAAACCATACAGATGTCTGTGTCATCGGCCACAGAGCTGGTGGTTTGCCTATACTTCCTTTCTTCCGTTTCCTACATGCAGTTTTAGTTTGCCACATGATGCTGCGTAGGAGAAAAGTATGTCTGCTCAAAAACATCAAACCAATTCACAGAGAACAGAACCCTTAGTGACTGGCAATGCCAATGATTTAGCTGCATCTTCTTCCCTTTCTGAGAAAACTCTCCTCCCAATGATTTTTGGAAACCAAGAGCATAACATACATAAAGGTAACCCTCAATTCTACCTTATTTCTTTAGTAATTCTTTCATCTGTTAAGATGATGGTCAAAATAAACTTTTTGGTCCAAAAATGAAGTGGGCTGTGCATTCAGAATAAGTCGTGCTGCATTTTATGTAACTAGGTCAGCTGTTTTCCAATATTCTCCTGCATTCTCCTCCCCAAAACATTTTCATTCGTGCATTAGCATGTAGTAATATATTTGAATTGTGCATCTAGAACAATTTTGTTTCCTTCTTTCTTACCTCTAAACTCAAGTAATGTGTTCTCATTTCATACTGAACTCTGTGCTTCTTGTAAATGTGTACAGATTTGAGAAGTGTAAATCGTTCTATCGTCTTTGGGGGTTTATCTCTGAGCAAAGAAGAAAAAGAAATTTTCGTGTTATATAAAGGATGATAATGCAAGTTTATCTGAAAAGTTATGCTGAAATCTCAGGTATTAACCAGCACTGGATCAGGGAAGCTACAGCACTGACAGCTGTACTGAAAGTACTGTCAGTATCCTTCATGTAGATAAAAAGCACTTCCACTATGGCAGCACTGAGTAGAGAAGTGCTGCTGCACCGTCCTGCCATCAAAGAAGTGTTAGGTCTGTAATCTGAGAAAAAAAATGTCAGATTATAGCCATTGCTTAAAAAAACCCCAACTTCTAAGCAGAGGACCTAAATTACAGTAGATGACAGAATAAGCATCTCACTCACTATCACTCTACAGATCAGTAACTTACACTTTTTCAACAGAGATGCCAAGTTCTTTAGCTGCAAGCACTGCAAAATATTCATAGCTGTCCAGCACAGCTTTGTCGTGGCCTTTAACCAAAATGGACAATCTCTTGTACAGTGTTTCTGGCTCATCTGAAATAGATACCTGCATTTTTGAAGAAAAGACAAGAGTTACCACACTATGTTCTCCTTAATTAATACATGCACTGCTATTTCCTTAGCCTGCATGCCCCATTTGTAAAAGAGCAAAAACACCCCACAACCTGTTGGCTGCTTATTTTACTTTATCTAACAGAGCCTGACTGTATTACCTTGACTGACAGGTCTTACTCCACCAGGGAAGGCAAAGTGTGAAGGGATAGCTAACTCGTGAACATTCAGGTAAAATTTCTTCATCCAAAAAAAGGAATGCCAGATATAAGGAGGACAACACGAACAATGGCATGAACAAAACTCGTTGTTGAAGCAAGTCTGGAGCAACATTTTATATTTATGTATTTTATATAGCAGTGTGCAAATACCCGAGAGTTTGCTTGGGTATGGAAATTAAATGGAACGTTATGGACAGCAACCAAAATTCTCACTTTACTAAGCTCTAAGACTATTTTAAGCACACTAGTCTTTCCCAGGTGTATGTCTGTACAAGTGCAAGTTTATGACTTTCAGAAAGAGCTTCAATTTCTCATGGCCTGGGCTCACTGATCAACTGGAAGAGCCTTAATGAGTGCAGAAGTGCTGATTTTCCCAGGGGCTCATTCCTAGGCAGTGTAGCACACTAAATCCAACATGTACCAGCCACAGCAGGAAGGCTGGATCAGCACTGTAGATCTAATACTGCCTGGCAGGTGTTTCTCAAGCCCTTGTTAAAAGGCTGCTAAGCTGCCGTAGGCATTGAACTGAATATGGCCAAAAAGCTGGTATTTCATAGAGTTACAGCTTTATAGAAAAGGGAGAAAGTTACTGAGAGGTAACTGCGACCTACAGAAATCTTGTTGGGAAAAAAACTCAGAAACCAGAAGACCTCAAATACCAATAATCTAAATTATTTCTTTCTCCATGACAAATTTGCCATCACTAAGACAGACCTTCAAAAAACTGCAAGAAAAGAACTGAAGATTTTCTGGATGTCCTCTTTATTACTAAGATAATATACAAAATTCTGTGTTACAGAACACTCACCAAAGGATTAGTCTTAGGCTCCTGTGCATCACTATGGGATCCAGCCAGCCGTGCTCCCATCAAGTTGGAGCTCCTAGAAATACAGTCATGGGGAAAGCATAAAGGAAGTTGTTAAAGTTGGATTTCATTTTTTCAGGGACTATGGAGGAGCAGTGGAAGGAGGAGGGGCTGTTACACTTACGGAAGAAAATACTGCTTTTGCATAATTCTGCTTGCATAACTGACAGGAAAAGCTGATCCCTGTATAAAACAGATAGGTTATGTTGTGGGGTTTTTCCCCCCAAACCAGAAAGCAGCTGCTTAATATAGATTTATTAAAGAGTACTTTTTTTGCACACCAAAGCACAGTACATTCCTAGGCACTGATTTGACAAACTAGGAAGTTTGCTCCATTGGAAAACATAGGAAAACAGGAGCATGGAAATGTATTTCAGTATACAACAGCACCTAAAAAAAGAAGCACATTAAGGGCACAGTAACTGTATGCACTTACTACTGAGGCACCTGAACAGCAATCACAAAGCATTTTTTGAAGAGAACATTTAAGTAGAAATACTTCTTATGAGTAAATGAGCTATATTTAAAAGATAACATGATTTTCTGTGTTAGAAAACGAATACAGTTGTTAATCATGTAAGATTGCTATCTTTCATACTAGAATAATTGTTCTCTTCTGAACATTATGTGGCTTCTGGCTTCCTTCCACTAATTCTTAATTTGGCAAATTATAGACTACTTGGGGGGGGAAGGAACTCTTGCTTAACAGAACCTCAGGGCTGCAGCAGAATGCTGAAGTCAAATTAGTTAATTATCTTGCCCCTTGATGCTCGTTTTTAACATGTGCTGGAGTCATAGCTTTAAGAGAGAAGACAAATAGCCCACCCAAGAGTTATACAGGTGACTGTCTAATCAAATGATCAGAAAACAGCCAGACTTCACACTTTTTCAGGTAAACTTACTGTAGCTGATCATGGATGTGCATAACTGACTCTGTGATGCCACTAGGTCCCTAACCTTTTCCAGTATGCATCATACATTCATTATACATCAGAAGTGAGCAAAGCTGTTTTCTGAAGTAATTCTGCCTCAGTCGCAATTCATCCTACAAATGCTGCTTCCAATAAAGAAGATGACTGCAGGAAGAGGCAGGGGAGATTTCTGTTTACAAAGCTGACTATGGTACAAACGCCTCCCCTTAAGCAATCCTTTCAAATCCAGATCTTCACAGAGGCACTACTGTTACATTCTTCTTCAAGTACATAACAAAATAGGCAATTTTAGGAGGACTGAGTATTTGTCACTGTAGCTGATTATCATTCAGAAAGTTTCAAAGTTTATGTCGGGAACTACCTGAGCCTTAGTAGCTAAAAGTAGTGAAATACAGCTAGTAACTGTCTAACAACACCCAATAAAACAGAGGGACAAGAGCACATAATGACAGGACAAACAGAAGGTGTCCCTGCACATGGAAGGGGGTTGGAAACAGATGGTCATTAAGGCCATCCAATCCAGGCCTATGATTCTATGACAAAATTAGGTGGAGCTCAATTTGCACCTCAGTTCTCTCTCCCTGGAGTCAGAATGCTGCCTTCCTTCCACTCAGTGCCCATATGAAGCACAGTAACAATCACCTGACGCCACATCAGGACACAGACAGGCCCATGAGCGTGACAGACGATTCAGTGCAGGGCTTAAGGTGTTTGTGCAAATACATGACACAGAATCTGACCCCAGATGACAAATGTGAGGCTATTAACTGTAATCATAACTGAATTTTTAATCTGTTTTGAGCGATTTTTATGATGTGCGTATGCAGTCCATGCTATGTATCCTTTTCCTTATAACTGCTTGACCTGGTAATAAGGATTTATTATCTGCATGCAAAGATACATGCACTCATAGTGTATTGTGCTATGTGGTTTTACATACAGAAATTTCATGCAATTTCATGCAATAAAAATGAATAAAACAAAACCTGATGAAGCAGTAGAGTCCTATCCCACACACTAAGGCCTGCAGCCTTTCCAATATTTTATGATTGTACGTATTATTCCTATCACATGCCATCTCCCTTTGTTACTAATTAAGCAAATATGCATCAAGTGAAAAGTTTTTGTAACATTAAATTAAAGGTGCTCCATGCACATTTTGAGCAAATGATACACTGAGTATCTCAGCTGGTAGATATGGCATTCAGTGGGCAAGAATTCATAAACAGCTTCACTGTCTGATTTAATGATGTGCTCTTGCTAATGGCCATCACAGAAGGTGGAAATGACACCCAAAGACTGCAACATAACAGAACCAAGACTTTGCACAAAACGTAATTATCTGTCTCTTAGTGCAAAATAGCCTTAATTTTGTTTGGCTGAGAGCCTCTGAAGTGTTGGGGGGAGACAGACGCCTGAAAAGCAAGTCCAGAACACTCCGCATACACAGAAGAGAGCTTAAGGCTTCAGAAAATCCAATTATCTCAATTTGAGAGAAAGCAATCACTGCTTTTAAGTCCAAACTAGCAAACATCATCAGTGCAAAATGCTTTCCTATTATTTTACGTTGCAACTTCCGAGCTTTGAAACTTTAAAGACTAGAATAACACATGGCCTCCAAATCCAAATCACCTCTTCACTTTCCCTTCCACCCGGACTAACTGCGGGAAAACCACAGAACTGGAAGAGTTCTGAGGACCCGCCAGGCGTGCAGAGACACAGCGGCACGCTGTACAGCCCCAGCCCTCCCGGAGCCCGAAGGACAGCATCTGCCGCCTCCCCTTCTCCCACTCCCCTCAGGAATGAAAACGCCGAGGAAAAGGATGAAGAAGAGGAGAAAAAGAACGAGGCTACGGCGTCCCCTGTCCCGCCACACAGCGCACCTGACAGAGCCGCCGCCACAGCCAGCCCGCCGCCATCTTGGCCCCGCCCCAGCCCGCCGTGCCTCGCCCGGAAGGAGAAGGGCGGCCGCAGCCCGCTCCTCCTTCCCCCGCCGGCAGCGGCGGCTCCGGGAGCGGCTCTGGCCGCGGGGCAGCGCTCGGGGCTGCGGGGGCGAGGCGAGCCCGCAGGCCGCCCGCCCAAGGAGCCGTACGAGCCCCCAGCTCAGCTCCCCCTCCCCGCCGCGTTCCCGCCTCCCCCGAGCGCTGCCTCACGGGCCCCTCACACGGAGCAGCGGCTCCCCCTCGGCCGCTCCCCGTCCTGTTCTCTGGGAATCTTTCCAAAAAAAACCAAACCAGTTCCACGAACCCTAGTTTTCAACCTTCTCCCCGCTCTTAAAAATATTTTTAAAAGGGATACAAGCCCGTTAGAGCAAAACCCATCCGACTGTATTTTACCGAAATAAAAAAATGCCTGGAAATGGCACATAAACCCCTTTCTTTTCACACACACAAATAACGGTTAATAACGACACAGCTGCTGATCGGCACCAAAGCTTTAAAGGGGGTGAGGAAATGTTAAACAAATAGTAATTTATGCCACTAAACCATCCTTAAATACACACAACCAGGTAGGCAGTGTAGAGATTAACCCGAAATTAAGCTATGTGCAAGTCAAATGCTAACAAAGGGAACCTGAAACCAGCATAGATCACAAGCTCTATCAAATGTGTATATTTTTTTTATTTTGTTACTTCCTCTGCCACCTAAAATTACAATCCGCTTTTTACACTAAAACGCCTAAAATATTTACACAACCATCTTCTAATAAAATAACAGTTAAATATTGAAAATAAGATTTTTCTCATAAAATATGTTTTCTGTATGTACACGTTTTATCAAAGAGGACTAGATCCGATATCGAATAGTTTTCCATCACCAACCATCATCAAGAAAAAAGTTTTCTGAAACAAAACTATGTTCAACTCACGTACAAATAGGCAGAACAACACATTTAACATCAGCCAATGCAACACTGAATAATGACGAAGTCAATGTTTGAGGCCTAAATCTGTTTAGGAAATGTGCATTTTTTTTTTCCTTTATGAATAACTTCTTTGGTTATCGTTGTTCTATTGTATTATTGGCTGTACAATAAAACAGCACCCAATTAATGTTACTTAACCAGGAATATGTACGTGTATATATATATTTATAGATACTAAGTTCAGCACAGGTCCTGTCCAATTGTTACTAAAAAAGTGTCACTGTAGATTCTTTAATACAGAGCTGCTCTTCAGAATCAAGCCCCTAAGTTACTGCTGTATTTCACTCAGTTCTTCAAGCAGAACTCTGATTTCAATCATCATTTTGCTTAAACAGTTTTTAACCACCGGGAACCTGAAAACCTGTCCATTTTCCAGTGTAGAGCCGTTCTCAAAAGATCCTTAAAAGTTCAAAATGATACAAGCTTGGGAGAGGAAGAGTAGACTCTGCTGGGCTGTTTCTAACAGAGGCTCCTGACAGCCAACACGTTTTTATGCTCACAAAAGCCTCCACTTTGCAAACCACGAAGACTTGCACTATCCATGAGATTTTTTGTCAGTGGGTCTCGCTGGTGGTACCCAGCCTGCTGAACCTGGGTTGCGTATGGCCCCTGTAAAAGTAAAATGTGACAGCGTGGACAGGAACTGCTGGGGAATGTGCTGAGTGGCAGGTTGGGAAAGAAAAGGCTGCTGCTGCCTGATCTCCTGAAGCTCAAGGGTACAATGACTGAGAACATCACCTCTTATGTGACAGGAGTGAAATTCCGCCTGCTGGTCAAACCCTACTGCAAAAGCCTCTGGAAAACCCCCCAACACAACCACGTACACAGGAACTTCACTAACTGGAAACTGAGAAGTTATTTCCATTCTCCTGAAGGGTTATTCTTTAGTATCAGAACATTTGACCTTAAGTAGAAACTTGAGGTCATTTGGCTTCACATATTTGGCTTTGACAGAGAAGGCACCTCTCTCTGTCAGTGGCTCCCACTGGTTCTGAACTTGTGTGGTCTGGTAACTCCTATAAAAGTGCCGTGATTTACCCTCATTTTGCATAGTTAAACAAGGATAAGAAGTAGAAGATAAGACCCACCATTCCTCAGGTTCTGGTGAAGATATCAGGAATATAGCAAAAATAACCCAATAAAATAAAATCCAACCCATTAAAAAAAACCCCAAACAAACCTAAAGCCTGGAAGATCTGAAATAAGTCTTACAAAATATTTTATAAAGTTAACAATACTCCTCTACTGTGCAAAATTCACAAGAAAATCAGTGCTGCTGCCTGTGAGAACTCTGCAACCAGCATTAAAGGTCCACTCAACCTAACTCCATTTCTTCCTTAATTGTTTTATTCTGTGACATACAATTCTTTCAGTATCCTGCTTAATCAGAGAACCAAATCTAAATTTATATAAACTCTGTCAGGTGTCCAGCATGTAGATCTGAACCTAAGGGAGGGGAAATGGTCATTAAACAGCAACATCAACTCACCTTTGCAGCATGTTTATAATAAATAAACAACAGCTGAATTTGATGTAATGAGGAGGACCGAAAATGGCACAGGAAGAGCACATTATACCTAGGTGCTGAAAGCATATCAGTCTCTTTTCCAATGGCAAGAATGGTTCCCTGTGTTTTCCTGGTGAGAGAGTAAGCATTGCTCAAGCACACACTCCCCTAAAACCACCGAAGTGGCTATTCCACAGTGTGATTTATTGTCACGGGACAATATTTCCAGTGCAATCTGATTACCAAGGCAGTGTTCCTGATTCAGTGCTCCCATCAGGGAATGTGAACCACAGAACAATCATTTTCCTTCTTCAATCCTTGAAATTAGGTCATTTTAAAAGCAACCTTGCTAAAATGGAAGGTCTAAAATGTCCTGTGTAACCAAGACAGAACTGAAAATGAACTGTGATATTACTAACTCTTTCACAGTTAAACCAGATTTCCCCCCCCTCCCCATCTCGCTTAAAATGGCAGCACAAAGACAAATTATGTAATCATATCTTTAAGAGAGATGACATTTACTCTCTAGAAGATGCTGGAAATGATCCAACATAGGCAAAAAAAAAAAAGTTTCATCAGAAGTGTGTGAAATTTATTCTTGTAATTGGGCTAAAATGAAACTTGGAAGAGTTAAAGACTAAAGATTCTACCAGGGCCATCTGGTAGGAACTGATAGCAGAACCATGAACTTCTGTAATTAGTGGCCTTGGAAGTTATCAGCAAAAAGAGCTCAGATAAAAACACCTTATAAGAATATTTGTACCAATTATTTATTTCTTCCCCCAAGACACAAATTAATAAAAAAAAAGGGAAAAAAGCGGATTTTTTTTCTAGACCTGGATAAAAGAATTATAATTTTCAACAGGTAGTTTACAATCAGTGGGAATAAACAAGCAGTCCAGGTTTCCTGATTGATCCATTCAGGGTATGCTCAGTAGCTGTCTATCAAACAACTTTATTTACAACTCAGCATCATCCTGCAGTAGATCTGGATCTTCATCATCCAGTAAGAGGTCAGCATCCATGACTTCATTCTCTTCCATGACATCACCCAGATCCGGAACAACATCGTCATCAATGTCACCAACATTTTCAACGTGTTTAACCAAACTCATGTGATCCAGGGGGATCAAACTATGCCCAGCTGGCCCAGTAGTTCTTGCAATAGTGGCTGCCATTTCTGCTGCCACAGCAGCTTTCTGAGCCTTCTGCCTTTGCTGTTCTTCTTGTTGTCTGTGAGTCTTCATATGAGCATTGCGGCTTTTGATTTTGAAAAAGACCCTAAATTTTAAAGGAAAAAAATCAGATTAAAATGCACTGCTTTTGATGAAATGAGCCAAAAAAGACTCAACAACTTATCAGTACATTTGCTTCCTTGTCCTGAAATAGAAGTCAGTGAAGTCTGCAATGCCATGGTGCGAATTTCAGGGACATATTACCAGATTTATACATTCTGATGGTATCAAAATGGCCTAGTCTGATTTTGCCAGAGGTAGTTTGTAGCTCCCACACCTGCTTCAGTATCTATGTACATTCTATTTTTCCCTCTTATCAGTTTCACAACCATCTTGCACAACAGGGAAAAAGTGAAGGATTACCACGCTAGGATGGACAAACTCAAGCACAGAAACACAGCAAAAGTCGCCCACGGTCACATCCAAGTCTGTGATGAAGCAGGAAGCTGGAATGTCAGATGTAGAAATTCTAAGTGGAAAACAGGAGTGAATACTGCAGGGGGCATCCATAATGTCATGCAAACCTATCTCTGACAGTTTTGGTAGGAAAACGCATCATCTAGGGGGAAAACTTCTTCCAAGACAATCAGAGCAAAATACTAAATTTGTTCACAGCACTGCAGATCTGCAATCTAAAAAGGCAAAGCGGACAGACAGTCACACTTACTTGCCACACTCCTTGCAAGGAAAAATTGTCGTCGGGTCGGTCTCGCCGCTCGTTGTGCTGTGGGCAGGTGAGCTCTTGATGGAGCAGTATCCGCTCTGCGTACCAGATTTCTGCTTCGTGCCGGGAATGGTGCAGCGTGTTTTCGTCACCTGGTTCGTACCTCCGTGAATGCGAGCGTGGCCATTCAGCGCTTGGCGGGAACTGAACACCTGGCAGGGAGCGGGGTGGAGGGGGGGGGGAAAAACAACACACACACACAAAAATAAACCCCAAGCAATCACAAGAAACGCTGGAACTGCAGAAAGTAGGATGCTGAATGCATATGACAACAGGACAAGTGTACACGTCTATTATGCAGCATCTACTTGCTCAAATGGTGCTTGCTCTCAGCAATATCCCACTATAGTTGAAGACAGTCACAATAAAACAAAGCAGTGAGCTATCCTATTATTAAAGTTGTGTAACCTAATTGGAGCTTCTGCCATATAGTATTTCTAACTGGTGCATCATCTCGGAATTCAGTTTTCTGTACAGATCAAACTGCTTATATTTTGTGGGGTGGGAATTAAAAGCAGTCAAAATTACAATTCACTAGTTTACACATACGACTACGACCACCACCCTCTCCCCCTTAAAGATATCAAACACACGTACAGCGCCACAGTTTGGCATTTCACAGATGAAGGAGGATGAAGACAGTGAAAGACCCTGAACAGCAGGCAGATCTATAGGTCCAACAAGAGAGATTGCTGGTGGGTCAGGTGACTTCTGCATTTCCCTTTCTTCCTTTCTGTCTTCTTCGATCTCCTCATCTTCCTCTAACACTTCCTCTTCTCCACTTGTCTAAAATAGACAGTGCATTTAAGGAACACTAGATATATGGTCAAAGATAGACAGCACTGAATAGTAGGGCATACACAGTTCTGGAACAGCATGTTGTTTAGTCAAGTGTGCTTCCCAGTATCAGTATTTCTTCCCATCCTGAATCAGCTTCTGGTCTTACTGGACTACCAGCCCTTAATGGATAAGCCATGGCACATAAAGCTTCTCTGCAGTGCTCAAGACAGCCTCCATATGCTATTATGGAGCTGTGGCTCCAAAGATCTACAGCTGCCAGGTGCAGTGCTGTCCTCCTGCCATCAGAAAGCCCATGTACGCTGTACTTTTTGCCAAGTTACTTTAACAAAACCCTAAAAGAGCCAACCAAAAAAACCCAACCCACAAACCAACACATCCCAAGTGGTTGATGTACTGGAATGTTAGAGCAGCCTTTAGGAGCACATATGGGCACAGGCATAATTTACAGAGGTTTCCCTGGACTACAGTTGGATAATGCACTTTTATCTGGTTGCAGCCCAGCCACACAAATCTTGGAGTAGCTGAGGTCACAGAATGTTCATACAGAATATAATTTAGAGTTATGGAATAATTTCTGTTGGAAGATACCTATGTCACCTAATTCAACCTCCTCCTCAAAACAGGACAAACAAAAATTATCAAGTGGTAAACTCTCTCATCTTCTTTTAGACTTACCAAGCATTCATCTCTTTTCTTCTCTAAACGCGTTCTGTGTTTCCGTCCCAAACGCAAGATTTTCTTCCAGGTATAGTAGTATTCCACACATTGTGCAACTGTCTTGGACTTAACCTGTAGTTAAGGAATAGCAACAATAGTCCAGTCTTAATTTTTTGCTTTCATTCAACACAATTTTAATCTATTCCAAGAGGCAGGCTTTATTCCTCAAACATTCAATTGAAGAAAAAAAAACAATTAAGGCAGTTTGACTACAACAGGAATATTCTTGTAGAATAATTATTTTTAAAAATTTGTTTGAGTCAAATTTGTGTTGACTTTTTCACCTTCAGTAGATTTCTCTGGGATTCCCTAAACTCCAGACAGAAAATGTCTCAGACTGTACTCTTGTAGATCACTTGTACAGTACCACTGAGAAATCTCGGAATTAAGACTTGACTCACATAAACCCACATATTTTTCAACATTTGAGCTAACAAGTAGAATATTGTGCTCTGCGATTTAAAACTTATCTTTTCTGCTTTGTGGCAGAACATGAAATGTAAGCCCAAATGTGTTTCCTCTTTATTACCAGGTTACAACTCTTTCTGGCACCAGGCTCAATGCCAGTGATGCTGGTACCTTGTAACAAACTGCCAGAGAACACCAAGACAATAATGCAAAACCATACTTGTCCCACACATAAAATGCCATGATTTGGATTCCAGGTGTGAAAAGTTTCACATGTAACAACAAGAGGGACAACTTTTATTCATTTATAGCTGTTTTTTACTGCTATCTAATGCACAGGTACACCTGATGAATATACCAATCCTATTGGTGTTCTTGTAACCACTGCTGCCTCTACGCCGCAATCTGCTGGTCTGGCACTGGAGGGAAAATGAAGAGGACCAGAACAGAGCAAAAGGAAAGAAATCCCAACAACTACAGAGTAGAGATAACTTTACCATTTTCTGTACAAATATGAAATCTTTGCTGTAGGTGGACAATGCCTCTTTGAACAGTCTCCTTTCTTGATGTGTCCATTTGTCAGAGCCTTAAAAAGAAAACGAAATCATTACAAATGATAGAAACACACCACCGTTTTGTTGATGCCGTATCTGAAATGAGAACCTTGAAGAAGAAAAGTCTCAAGCATATGAGTGATTGCTGCTACCCAAATACAAGCATGGCTGTACTGACTCAGACCTGAAGTCCATCTAACCAGTATCTGGTCTCCAGCAGTGGTGACAGGCAGTTGCCTAGGAAACAGTAGGATCAGGGCAAGCAAATACTATGCCTCTCCCTAATTTTTCCTAACCTCTGACCGTGTTGGGCACAGGGGATTTCCCGAGTCTGTTGCAATTTGCTTATTTAGTAACTACCCTTGGAAGTGCTGAGCCACTCTTCCTTTCAACCAATTAAACTTCTCGTACCCAAAACATCCTTTGCCAAGGAGTTTCACAGATCAGTGGACCCTCTGCATGAAGAGCCACCTCCCTTTCTTTGTTTCCCGGCTCCCAGTAGCTTCAATGGGTGACCCTTCATTCTTCAAGTAGAAGAGAAAGTGAACCCAACCTTGACCATCATCTCCACGCTATTCAGAATTGTGTGCTCTTTCCATCACTCCCAAACCTTTGATGATTACTGCTGTCTCCCTCTGAACCTTTTCCAGTATTAAAACATTCCCATAAAGAGGACCAGAAAGGCGCACAGAATTCCACATAAAATCCAGACTTTCACAGTGGCATCACCATGTTTTCTATCCTCTTAACACTTGACTATTTTTTTAGCTGTTGTAAAATACAGCTGATAATTTCTTAGAACTAGCATTAAAATCCCAAACTTTCATTCTAATTGAGAAGTACCACCACAGAGCTCATAATTTCCTATGTAAGGCTTGCATTGTTTATTCCCATGTATACCACTTTACATTTGATGAAACAGAAGTTCCTATATCCTCTTGCTCTCTTTTTGTAAGATCCTTTTGCAGCTCTTCACTTGCATGGTTTGGGATAAGACATTTAAATCCTCTGTGTCAGAGGTCACAAGCAGGTAGAGACTGTAGCAATGTGCAATACACACAAATTGTTTTTTATCATTTTATGGAAGCTGTATATAAAACTTCTGAATATTGTTATTCTGTGTTTGGTCCCCTGGCCTAACTGCCCATGAAAATGTGAAATCAACATTTAAATTGAACTGAATTTATGCTTTCTCAATATTAGGCAAACAGAAGGAACACAGGATTGCTCTGCTGCATCAAAGCAATGTTCTGTTTGTTAGGAGTGGGCAGCATTACATACATTAAAGGAAGAATATGCAAGAAATAATAAAGTGGATGCCTTTGAAATGACTTACACTATGGGAAGATTCTACTTAGAATTTCTGAAACATCTAAAACTTTTATGAAAAGAAACCCCTAATACTCCTGTAAATGTTACTACTCTCCATACTTTCCTCTGCACTGATTTCAATTAACTTGGGTCTTGGCACCACATGGTATTAGACTCTATAAGTTACTTTTGTCTAAAAAAAATAGCAATGTTATTAACTGCAAATGCTTTGTTTTTCAGCATCTGCTCCCAGGCTTACAGGCTCAGAGCAGGTATCTCATCACTCCTTTAGATGCTGAAAACTACAAAACTTTCCTGCAACATGTTTTCTGTAGGCCCTTCCAGTACTGGATAGAAGCATGCATTAGTTATTTCCACAGAGATTTACACTTAAAGCTCTCTTAAGCATCAGAGAAAGGCACTGGCTTCAAGCCACAGGTTTTACTTATTCTGTTATCACCCAGAGATGTTTCTGCTGACACACTGCTTTTCCATCTTTTCCCACCCTGAACCAGCATCATTTCCTTCTTACACAAGTTGTCAGTCATTTGCACTTACCCTCCCTTTGTGCAGGGGTAAATGCACTCATTCAGTCCAGGAGGCTACTGTATTATGCTAGAACATAACTTTAAAAAGCATGATAACACCAGGAGAGATTTTCTTTTTTTCTAGTCATTCTGCTCTCTTGCCTCTACCTCACACTCCAGAAAAGACAACACAATAAAAATAATAACAAAGAATCACTTCCATGAATTGATTTTGGTGTACACCTATGGAATATTTGGGCCTTGCATACTTTCCCCAATAGCTGTGGCATTAGCAGAGACCCTTATAAGATTATGCGGGTTAATTGGAAGTAACCTAATTAATAGAATAAATCCTGTGTAGGAAAAGAAACAGAAGAAAAGCTGTTTTTAACTCTGGTTGCTGGGAAACCACTTTTGCTCTTGTTAGCTTGAGGGAGATATAGAGAACGTGCATAGAGAGAGATCTGCAATGCAGCAAAAAGAATTTGGGGCTTTAGAATACAGATCAAATTTTAAAGCTGATCTTTATGTTTAGGTATTTATTCTACATTTTATTTTACCTGTTGTAGTGTTTTTGCACTGATTAACTGACATGAAGTATCTTCTACTCATTTGTGTGCTTTGGGCCCAATTTGTGGGTTTCTGGGGGGGCTACATGTACACCCAGGGAGCCCCATGGAGAGGTAGCTGAAATCCACCATGTACAACATATGCTGTGTCTGACCCACAACCCTGTCACAGCACATACAAGAAGCTTCCAGACTGCCTAAAGTGCCCTATGTCAGAGACCATCTCTCCTGCTGTTCTCACTGCAGAACTTCAGATCTGAGAAACTCCACTGTTCAAAGGAGAACAATTCAAATGTTTGCAACAGTGCCTCTCTTGTATTAGGTATGTGCTCCCTCTCCCTTCCTAAAACACCATCCTGACAGACGGCAAAGTCTTAGGGCAGAGATTAGGGTGTTCTTCCAAGGAGCCAGCATGTTCAGCTGTCTTGGCACACAACAGAAAATCCTCAAGTTTTACAAGTGGCTTCCTTCAGAAGCCAACAAGTTTCAAAGGTGAGCTATTTGCCTGTACCCTCATTGAAAGGCAATGCTAAGGATGAGTTTGGGTATCTGTTGCTTGTGGTACTCTAATGAGTTAATTCTCATGAGTAAGTGGCATGCTCTGTTTCCATGTATTCCACCTTTAAATATGGCAAGCCTGAGAGCCATGATTTCTAAGGATGGAGGAGAAAACATGAAGTTTTCCCAAACTGATACCACTTGAAGTCATATTAAAGCTATTCATGCACTAGATTGTGAAAAATTCTCATATGCCTCGAGTGGCTCATTATCAATCAGAAATAAACTGTTATTCAAGAGCGGCTGCACAGTGCTAGAGCAATGCTGTAAGTTGCAATCACATGTTGCATGCAAGAGCATTAGAAAGTAGTGCTTTGTCTTGTTATTTTATGGCACTTAAATCCAGACTTAAATAAGACTGAGATCTTATTTCATGCTGTGATAAGCACAACCAAACTTCCTGTCCTGCTTAAGAAATGGGGATTCAAAGGTGTCCACAGGTCTCAGTGCTAGATACCAAGGATTAGCATCATCTCATGTGAAAGATTAAACAAAACCGTCTCTTGGCTCCTCCCTGATTCCCAATGTGTTCTTTTTGAAACTACTGTGAAGTTGCTTTAGTAAAGACTGTTCCTCCTCTGCCACACAGACAGAAATTTCTTATCTGTTCTGCTAATTTGATTGTTTACTGATGAAGAGACTGTGGGTATCTCCTCATCTTCCTGCTCTCATGTCCTTGAACTGTCTCACACATGTGATTTGATGTCATCTCTTCAGGCAAGAGACCCTGATCAAAGTTCCTGGCTGATGTCCTCCTTCTCCTCCCATTCCCATGTCCTCTTTCTCCTCCCATTCCCATGTCCACCCTTTGGACTGCAATAGAGCTGCTATCAAAGGCACCCAAGCACCTCCCTCAGACAAAACCTAACGTTCACGTTTATTCACTGTCATTATCAGCTACCATCAAACACGTTTCTGTTCTTGTTCTCAGGCCAAGAAGGAGTTGCTTTACAAAGACTTCTTGTTACTTGAAAATCTTTCCAGTGGGCTGCTGCAGCCAGGAAGTACACTGCTTGTACACTTACTTTGCACAGTGACTGTTAACTGAAATGAGTACATGACCTTGGACACTGTGATTGACTGACCACCAGAAGACTCTTGGCTTGTTTCCTACTGAGCCTGAACTGCAGATGAAGTTCGAAATGTCTTATAATAAAACCCCATTCTGTGTCTCAGCAGTTGTCAGCCACTACATTAAAGCATTAAGCAATAGCATGTGGGGCTGCAGAGGAGAGACATTTGCCATCTCTGCTCAAGTGACACAACTGAAGTCCAGTGGTTTAACACCACATTTGTATTTCACTTCTGTTTCACACCACAATGCAGTTCTTGCTATGTTTTATGAAACAAGTCATCAACCCAGACTTTTCTGGCTAGATCCCCACACAGAGGCTCTGTAAGCAGCGCTAAGATCCTAGTGAGAATTACAGCTCTGCCTCTTTGGAAGGATGCTCATGATCATCATATTCATTTATTGTGCACCATCACCTCGGAGGAATCAGGCAGGATGGCAGATTGTTTATGTACCAGAAAATTGAGACATTAGTGATATTAAATTATAAATTACAAATAGCAGCAGTTTTAAAAGGAGATTAAATTGTCAAATTTCAGTTTAAAAGAGAAAAAGCATCACCCGAGGCAGTTTTAAATCCGTAGACTCCTACACAGCAACATGGATGCAAAGCTTCTGTACATTGTCAGTCATGTATAAAACTGCTAAACTTGCAACAAACGGCTCTGGGAGTACCCTTGGCACTGTCCACATCATCTCTACTAAATGCTGCCATCCCTGCAGCAGACCACAGAGAGTACAACGTGATCCCATGCTCCAGCCTGGGATGCCAGGCTTGGACTGTGTAACAGATAGAAAGATCACAAGGAAACCTACCGGCATAGTGGTAATTTGACAAAGGATGGCACTTCAATCTCACTGGCTTTCTCAACAGCAGCTTTTCAAGAGCAACCTAAATGAAAAAGCAGGGAAAAACAGAATTAGGAAAAGCAATCAGCTGTGGCATAAAACTGCATTTAGAAGACTATTCAGTATGAAGATACGAGTTAATTTTCTCCCTTTCTTCTGTCATATAAAATCACATCAAATTACTCCGAGGCCCATTAACACTGTACCACACAGAAGAGCACCTAATGTGCACCTGTCCTGCCTTAATGAGCACAAATGTGACTATTACTTAGCAACTTCCAGCTCCCTCCCTCCCTTCTGCTTGCCACAAACAAATACATTTATAGTATTTGACTTGATAATGTTAATTAATATTAATATTTATAGCATAAAATATTTTGGAATATCTTTGTAGGTCAACATCTCTCAGGAATGACTGCAAGTATAGCTAATCGTCCTTCAGATCAGGAAATCAGAGGATTTATGGATCCCTAAAATTTTTCCCCTGAAAATGCAGACTCTCTGTAAAGCAAATTCCACATCCTGACATTCTCAGACCCCTCAGATACAGCTAACAGAGCCTAAAGAAACTGGGACACAAGCTAAAATCCACTGTATTAGCCAATCCAGTAAGACTCATTCCAGCCCCATGTTTTGTTGCATTTAGTTTTATATTGGCTTTCCAGGAACTGGTGCAAGGGGCCTTGCCTTTCCCTAACACTGAGCTAAATGGATGTTTTGCCTTAGTTAATAACATTCTCATCACTAAACTAATGCAAATATTTGAAATGCATTATTTATATAAGAACTGTGTGCAATTACCTCACAGTTCTGAACAAATAAGTAGATGTGATTGCGGCTCCAAAAAAGGTTTTTTTTATAAGGGCTAGAGGAGGACTAAGCTCTCTGTGACCAAATATAAAGCCTGTGAAATATCAGGGCTGGAGCAAGCACTGGGAGACATTCAAAGCCCCAAGGCTATAAACTAAGTAATCTTATCTATATGAAATATACAGTAAGCCTTCAGAGAGGCACTGCTTTGAAATTTAAATTTATTAGAGAATAAAGGGAAAAGTCATTCCCCAAAAATGTTACAGGATGTTTAAAGCATCATTTCAAATCAATCAGAAATCTTTTTTATATAACCATATCTAAATCCATTTAATAAAGCATGCTAATTTATCTGCAGAAGAGGATCATATCTCCCCTTTCAGCTTTTTTATCTTACCATAATATCTCCTTTTGCTTCAAAGAGAGAGTGCAAAGCGTATTCTGAGTTAGTTCCTCCACCAGGTAACACACTGGAACAGCTCATATTTAAAAGGTCTTCCACTGTCAGAAACAAGTCAACATTTTACTGCTAATACAGTAGCCTGTCAGTCAAACATCTGGAGCCAAGGATTCTGTAATGCCCCTCAAAGACTACATAGCTCAGGCCAACAAATTCTTTCACACTTTTTCTCCTCAGCATCTCATCTCTTTGTTTTAGGATCACTGAGGAGAGGATGTAACAGAGCACATCCTTGAGATCTGCCTGTGAGGCAATGACTTGCACACACCAGTGACGTTGCTGTGCCAAGAAGGCTCCAGCCAGAGTGGAGAAACAGAATAAACCATGCTAGAAGCAGGAAAAAATTCTGCTCAGGATTGGTAGAACCCACCAAGCCTGCCACATTTCTTCTCAACTACGGTCACAGGACAGGCCCAGGATCCATCAGCTTCCTCTCAGCTGTGACCTCTGCATTTACCAGGCAGTTCAGTACCCAACTTCCCAGCGATGACCTTTCCCCCTTGGCTGCCAGAAAACAGTTCAAACAGACTTCCCTTTAAATGCCACTATATAATGCTGTTGCTCTGAATCTATACCATGTAGTTCTAGTCTCTTGCTCTGCACTCTCAGCAATTAATATTCTCTTGAACGTTTTGTTCAGTACAGACACAAGAAATCAATGCACATTTCTCCAACAGGCACAGGCTGACGTAGGAACTTCTGAAATGGCAAGTCATTGTACCTCTTTGTTGGAAGACTTTGTTCTCCAGTTCTGGCCATGGTTTCCAAACCAAAGTAGCCTCGTGCACATCTTTCTCCATTAGCACTCTGTCCTGCAGCTCAGGAATGTCAGCCTGGAACCTGGACCCAATATTGATTCGTCTACAAAGAAGAATAAGTAAGTAAGTATTCAACTACACAATGTATAGAAAAAACAAAAGTCAGATTAGTGTTCACTTTATTTCCAACAAAATTTTTATTGCACTGAAGTGGCAGGAAATTGTGTCAGATTGCTTTATGCAATGCTTTACTCCCAGTGGGATAAGTATTTTGAATACTAGAGAGAACTGATCTCTTGGGGAAAAACAAAAATTTCAATATGCAATTTAAGCCATGCTGAGACATCATACCTTAGGGACAACCCAAGCTAGTTTATATGCATGACTAGCAAAGAGGCTAGACATCAGAAACAGCAAATTTCTGTTCCACAGAGAATGGTACTCTTCAGCAGAGAACAAAAAGAGCCATTACTATGGAGGGACAGCCCTGTTTGCACTTTGCCCTGGGGAACCTGCCAGGTAACATCACCACTCTAAAGCTCCACTCTTTATATATATATATTCAAAAGCAAGAGTACTGGATTGGCATGTTTTCCTCACAGCACTCTTCCCAGCCATCACTAACTTTGAGCCATGACACCCTAATCTTCCACAGCCACTTTGCTCCAAATGTCCTTAGCCACCATCCACAGAAACATTAAATGCATCCAGCTCAACATGATTTCAGGCAGTTGAATACTTCCTGAAGTATTTCAAAACACTTCAGGCCACAGGCTCGAGGTTGGAGCTAATCTATAAAAACGGTGACAAAAATACTGTTTTTCTTACGGTTCAACAGTCTGTTCTCCAGGCCCAGGCGTCACCGGAATGACACTTCCATCAATACTATCTGAAACAGATATTGGAATTTGAGTATCGCTGTTTTGCTGCTGGTGACCCTCCCAGGCTGCACTGCCACCTCCCTACTAGCACCAACATTCCTCCAGTCTATGATGCAAAAACGACCCTTTATCGATACTTAGAAACAGTCTAAATTTTTATAGGTAATGTCTGAACTAGCAGAGGTTTCTACTGCCCTGATTCTGAGTGATCACACACCTTTTCTTGTGAAGCACTGAACAACAAATATTTAACATGAACCCCATGTCTCAAACTGGGTCTTTTTCTTCCACTTCAGAAGGCCCAGATGTAATGAGAGGCAAGGTGGTCCTTTCTTGAGGCAGACCCCACGGAATGATCACAGCCTTACTGGCAGATTAGGCTCCTCTATTCCCTTTATGCCTTAACTTCACAAAATCCAAGGCAAACTGCCAATAAAATGGACTTTTCCTGTGAAGTAGCAGAACTGGCCATTCATGTGAGCCCACACAAAACCCCATCAACGTGGTGACACGAGAAGAGAGGTACATCGGTCTCTCCTTTGTCCTTACTGCTGCTCTGTAAATGCAATACTTACTAGACCGACACAGGAGCACCCGTGGAGTGGGAGTCAGCGGAGTCAGCGGGAGCTGAGCGTGCGATGCGCTGTGAGAAGAAGTGAGAACGCTGCTGAAGAGACCCGAGCCTTGCCGGACGGGGCTGAGCATGGGCGGCGGAGTGTAGGGGGGCAGCTCGTGCGGCCGGTCCAGCAGGTGATCGCCCAGGACACGGGGAGAGCGCAGCTGGCTCTGGTACAGAGTGGCACCAGAGTGCGACATGCTGAGGTTGAAGGAAGGAGGAGGGATGAAGAGAGGTTCGGGTCTGTGCCGATACTTCTTCTTGTCCTGCAACGGCTTGAAGTTTTCTTCCAATTTTACAGTGCTTGGATGAGGTTTTTTGCTAGTTTCCTAAAAGAAAACACAGAGAATCTCATCATTCAGGCAGGCTTAAATGTGGTTTGCACACAATCCTCTACAGCTTTGGGCAATGACCACAGAAAAGCTGTTACCACCAGGCAGTACCACTGTAATAACTCTGGCCAGTACAGTGTCTGGCACTACACAGAAACCTCAGGGGAGTGAGAAAAACCAGGACGAATTACTCTTCACCTCCAGCAGCAAGCCCTCTGGATCAAGGTAGGGCTGAGCCACAGAGGCAGACATGGAGAGGCTGCTGTCAGCTTCTGAAAGTGCAGGGAATTGCTCTCCCAGAGCCTTTTTCATTGTTACCCAGACACTCTGGGCACTTGTGTTTGCACAGAACACGCACACAAGCTGGTGGGAGACACTTCATTACCCAGTTACAGTTTATTAGAAACTTTATATGAGAGGTTTTCTAATGCATTTATTTAGCGAGACCAGGAAGGACACATGAGCTCAGTGAAATTACTGCAGTACTCAGCAGAAGGAAAGGAAGAAAAATGTAATAAATTCAAATTCTTTGCCTCTTATCACTGCATTCCCATCAGCTTGATTACAGTCCAGCTGCTACAAATCTTGAACTTAACTCTCTCCTCTTTCCTTGGAGAAAAACGGGTAGTAGATGACCACTTGGGAAATTCACACACTGTTAACATGTCCAGACTTCTAAAATTTGAATGTTAAAAATAATTCAGTAACAAATCCCTAGCGAATAGAGAAGAAGAAGGCACAGAGTTTATGCAAACCTGGAATCTGGATTTCTTGGGAGAGTGGGGATAAGGTAGGAAGAAACAGGTCCTCAGGTTGTGTTTTAAGAACACCCAGAAGCTGGTAGATGAACACAGTATTATTAAATGTACTGATTTTAGATACTTAGGCTGTAGGCCATCTTTAGAATAAATTTGGGAAAGAAAATTTTGACAGCAATGCTCCAGAATGTCTGCATCATCTGGTAAATTCTACTACCACATAAAGCAAATTACTACAATGTATGTTTAGACAACATACATCTTTACACCATGGGTGGTTCTTGAGAATCACATTCACTCAATAAAAATCATGTTAAACAAGCATTACCACTGTCACCCTTTATCCCTTATGTTAATAAGTTCCAGCTTGAGGAAATGTTTTTGATTACAGAGGTCCTGTCCTCTTTGTTAGATCATGGCTGCATCCTCTCCAACAGCTGTTGACATTTTTTCCTCTGTAAAAAAAAATTTGTTTTGGAAGAGGTTTTCTTCTGCTGGGAAGAAAATGCAGCTTTGCAAAGAATTTTTTTGATAATGGACATTCAGAACAGTGGAAGTTACCTGTAATGACAGATAAAGTCCATCAAGGTGGTGAACATTTAGTGTTCATACAGAAGAAAGGGGGAAAAAGCCCCTAAACTCAAGGAAAAAAAATCCAAACCCAAAACCTAAAAAAGAGACCCAGAAGGTCAGATCTAAGTCTTTGATTAGGGTTCATTTTGTTCTGCTCCCTAAGTGTGAAAGAGCTGGTGGTCCTTTCACACAAGTGTAAAGCAAACCAATGCAACATCTTAGAAATCCCAAACACCTCCAACTCCTACACTGCTTCACCTAGAGCACACCTATGCCAACACTGCCTTCAGAAAAGGTCACATGGGCAGTAAAGGAGAAAGTGGTGTCCAGGGGCTCTCACTGCAGAACCACCCCTGAAGAACGACCCTTACTTTCCTGAAGTTCTACTAGTTGATTCCCATTATCCAAGACAGAATGCATACTTTTGGACCCTGCTGCTGAACCTTGACAGGTCCACTCTGGGTAGATCCTGATGGACCTCACTTGAGTGCTAGCCTCAGCTTCCCATTCAGCCTCACTGAATGTTTAATTCCTTTTTGCTGTTTAATTTTACTGATTCCATGAGTTTTGTGGGAGTTTTTCTGGACAGCTCAAAGCACAGTATAAATAAATGCAACACAGCTTCAGTTCTTTGGTATTAACAAATCCCTCTTCAACGGCACAATCTCTTTACAGAAGAGGAGGAAACTGTGGATCTTTTGATCTTTTAACGTTTCCAATCCTACTGCTTATATAAAAGATAGGGTCCAGAGAGGGAACTGCATGAGTTTGGTTTGCCTGGGCAGTAACAGAGACCGCAAGCTAATTTTGAGGGAATGAATGTTCATTTCACCAAACACTGGCAGATTTAATCACAGTCACTTTATATACGTTGCAGAAATACACAAGCCCAAGCCACCTACTCTGGTGTCTCTAGAGAAGATCTCCCACTCAGAGCTTGAGGATTCAGAAAAGACTGTCCCTATTCTTTAGAGGAACTAGAAATAGAAATGAAAAATTCTATTGCTGAGTTACTAAGTATTGCGAAATGATGGCTTTCACAGTAAAGTGGAAGTTTGTATGTAAAACCTCTGTCTTAAAGGAAGAGAGGAAAGATTGTATATATACTTGTATCTATTATATATATTTAAAATTAGTGGCTATGTCTGAATAAAGAGTCAAGAGTGAATATTGTCAGGAGTCACCCATGCTGGTACAATGCTGATTCCTCATTTGTCCATCAGCCTCACATGAAGAAGGAAAATCAAAAATATCACAAGGATATTTCTCTGCATAGTACAGATAATACCATACAGTACTTATACTCCCCAGTAATCCCTTATCATGGTGTAGTCTGCCAAAATGGATTTGAAGGAATGAGCAGAATCCATTTCTACACCGGAACATGAAATAAATAGTGCTTGCTCCAGGACTCCTTCAGGAAAATAATAATGAGCATTCTCACATCTCATTCAAGCACTCATCAATTCCTCGTGCTGCCTGACCATTTCAGTTTTATAAGTGAAATGAAAGCACTAAGCAGAGCTACTTTTCCTGTATCAGAAATCCCAGTGATTAACCCTTAGAGCTGATGTGCATGCAGGGAGAAAGGGAAAAATTACTTCACTGCAAAACTCTGAGCTTCATATTGCTTAGAGCACACAGCCTAAGCACTGCACTCTGTTTGGCTGAAATGAGAAGCACATATATCTGACTTCAGAAAACAGGAAGAAATAAAACTGCCGATTTTAAGCAATAACATAACAATGAAGCAGCCTGAAAAGGAAAAAACAAAACCAGTAAAAAGATAGTAAATCCCTTTGTTCTAGTGGGATGAAAGAATACCACATTCCAATTTCAAATTATTTGTTTTCAACTGAGATCTTGATTCCTCAGCAAAGGAAAATTAGTATTTTCAAATGATTGAGGAAGAAATGCTCTGATGCTACAGGACTTTTTTATTTATTAGGAATCATAAAGATTCCAGAAAATATTCTAAAATACAGATGTTTTAGAAAGTAGCAGCACTACAAGCAAAGGGATTTAACAAGCACAGGACAGTTAGTGGCAAGAAACACAGCACTCACAGAGGATGAGCAGGGGTTGGCCACTTTTGGACTGCACGGTGGAGAGTAAGTCATCTTCACGAGAACGGGCATCTCGTCATCTGACACAGAGCTGGCAGGCTTGTCTGTGACTGTGGCAGTGCTGGCAGAGGGCTGCGTGCTGGGCTCAGGTGACAGAAGCTTTACAGGGACAGACACTGGCATGACGATGGGCGCGAGGCCATCCACCTCTTTAGACAGCGGCTGCTGGGGTGGTTTCTCTCCTTCATCCTGCACAGACAATTAAAGGCTTTCAGCCCGAGTGAGGCAGCGCTGCTTCTGGATCGATGCACTACACAACGTGTGCACCGTGGCTGAAAAGAAGTGGCCAGGGTTACAAAACACACAACAGTGTTCCTTCTTGGGACTTTCTCTTTGCCTCAAATGAAGCTGGCAGGCTACTTGTGACTCCTGCATAGGATTCAGTCTTGGTGACAAATGATCACCCGAAGCATCTCTGCAAGGTAACTTGCAGGAGGGGAGACAAACATGTCTCTTTTTATCACTACAAACACAGAATTCTCCATAACCCGTCTAAAAACAAAAACACGATCTGTGGAACTCTGGTAGCTCTTTGCCTTCCCATAGTACTCCCTATTGGGACAGAGTTTCTAAAATATCAGGATAAAGACTGACTGACAGGGCAAGTTATTTTTATGCAGAGCAACTCAAACACATTTTTGGTTTGGTATTTGTTGATACCTATACAACTAAAACACTTTGGAAGAAAGCTGTCAAAGATTCAACAATTCTGCTCCTCCAGTTAAAGCCTGGGAAGGCTTCCAATAAATATTCCTTAGTCATCCAAGTAGCTCAAATGAAAATAAGGAAGACTTGATGTTCCTGGTATTTCTAATATAATAAACAAACATGAGGAGGAAAAAAATTAGACACTCCTGACATGACTTGGTAGGGTGTTCTGTAACATGCAGAGGAAGAGAGAAGGACAGACACTGATCTGTCCTCCACCACTGCCTCTGTCTTCAAATCAGGACTTCTGGCCTACAAACTAACACAATTATGTGCATTTCTACTTCCATGGGGTATGACATAACAAAACAGTGCTGAGAAGAACAAGTTTTGACAGCAAAGCAAAGCATGGCAAAGCAAGCAAACATCAACACAAAAGGACTGTGCCAAATAGTGAAGTCAAATGGACTGCTACCTGTTTGAAGTTAGGAGATGCTCTTACTCCTCCGTGTGACCTCATGTGACCGTTCAGAGCAGGCAAACTCTTAAATTCCTTCAAGCATATTGAACACAGTAGCTTGTTCTTCGCATCAGCTCTCTCAGGAAGTGTTTCTCTGTTCTGGCCACTATTTTTATTTTCATTTTTTTAAAGCATGGAACAGAAGAAATAACATTAGTTTGGCATGTTCCCTTTGTTGCAGAGGGAGCTTTTTTAATCAAGGAAGTTAATAAAATTTTACAGCTAAATGGTCATGAAGTCACAAGTAAGCACATGGTGACTGCAGTGGAATATGTGGCCAATAACCTAGATCAGCTGCTCTCAAGACGGGGAAAAGGGAAGTTTTGAGCAGGACATGCTCATCAATACAGAAAATCTGAGAGCCATGAGATCTACCATGACATCTGCATTTCCCCACTTGTGATAGCAATTAACAAGTACTTGGACACAATGCCTCTAATTTATGGTAGGCAACCACTCTGATGGACACCTTGGCCCTTCAGAGGTGAGACCTTAAGAAACAAACAGAAGATCTCTGCTACCAAAGATAGAAATTCAGACCACACAGCATCCCTTTTCTTATAAATGCAACACTGGAGCTCCCCTGCTTTTGGTTTTTCTTTGGTTCCCTTACTTTTTTTTTTTTTTCTTTTTTTTTAATATAAAGAAAGCATTTATTTGAGTCTATTGCTATGGGGGGATGCCAGAAATCATACAAACTTATAAATCACAAAGCACAAAACTAAAGGTTTTTCTAGAACAGCAACAATTATTACACACCCAGACTGTGTGCTTTTCCCTCTAAATACAGATCTCCTTTGCATTTTTCATGTTTCATTAAAAAGACAAGAAGAATCTTTTAAAAATACCTTTGTTCTGGGGACAGTGGCTGCAGTCTGCCATCTGACAGTTGCACCTGCTATCAAAACAGGAGAATGGAAAAGAGGGGAAAAAGTTGAGAAAATAATTTTTCAGGCAATATTGTGTAAATGAAGGTCCTCACAGTATTAAGTCTGCATTTTGCATACAATTTCACTAGTATTAAAAGCCTCTGAGTTGAGAGCCAGACATCAAATCTCCTCTGTGAGCACTACTAGTTCAAGTTTTCTTCACTCACTTGCTGTTTGAAGCCTCTGCTTTGACCTAGAAGCACTACTTTTCGAAATAGAGTTGACTAGTAGCTGCTCCTGAACAAGTGAGCCTGACGTGTTGAAAACTTAGCAGGAAGGCTTTGTTGTAACTGGGTCCCTCCTCCCCAGAAACTGAGGCAGAACTTCCCAAAGCCTCTCACAAGGAAAGCAGCAGCCTTGCAGCAACAGTTCTGTGCTGCTGCCAGCCTGGCCCGAAGCCAACCCAGAGCTGTAGACAAAAGTCTGGTAATGAGGTTTCCCAGCAGTTCCCCATTGCAGAGATGCCCACAGCTCACATCCTAACTTTGTGCCTCTGCTGAAACCGCTTCATTTCCACACTTTGCTACTCTTCTGCATACAAATTTGGCTGGGCATGGATCTAAAATTCCACCTACCTGAGGCCACGTGGTGCTGGGGGAGTCTTGCTGAGAGCTTTTGTTGTTCAGATGAACTCCCGAGGGTGGCAAAAGAGTTCGATGAGGGACAGCATTACCTACAGAGTTAATCTCCTGCCGTGCAGGATCCTCAGCGGTCTCTGGTGGCGTGAGGCCGATGTGGGAGTTCAGGGATGGCACTCTGCTCTCGCTCAGGTATTGCTTCTGCTGGTCTTGCTGCTGCTGCTGCAGTAAGCTCTGGGGGTACAAGTGCCTGTACTGTTCGTGGGGATCCTGGAAGCAATACTGAGGCACTGCTCCCAGCTGGATAAGCTGCACAGGATGACTGGGATCCTGAGAGTACTGGTGTGGCTCATGCACAGTCTTTGGATCGGGTTCCCTGTGATACGGAGGAAGCGGCAATTGCATCTGCTGCTGCTGCTGCTGTAACTGCTGCATGACAGGTTGTGTTTGGTAATACTGAGCGATCTGCACTGGACACTGCCGCTGCTGCCGAGCTGGCTGCTGCTGCTGCATCTCCTGGATCGAGAGGCGCTGGTGTCCCTGCTGGGGCTGAGCGTAGTACTGGGGCTGCTGCAAGTGCTGCATCTGCTGCGGCAGGAGCTGCTGGGACTGCATTTGCGGAACGTGCGCCTGTCCCTGCTGGAAGGCAGAATGCATCTGCATCTGCGATAAGTGCTGCTGGTAGTCATAGTACAACTGTTGGTGCTGCATGACTTGCATTTGTTGCTTTTGCTGTGTGCTTGCAAAATTCTGGTGTGTTTGCTGTGGCAGTGGTTGGTATCTTTGCACGGTGGAAGTTACGGGTTGTTGCTCAACCGCTGGCTTCTGGGACAGCAGCTGCCTGAGCGCACTGTCACCAGAATTATCCACCATCGAAGACTCGGTGTGCAGAACCTGAGCCATGTTGCTGACTTGAATTCTCAGATTTTGGTTAGCAAATACTTGTGTAAAGGAGTCCAATTTGTGCAGGGCCCCACTGGTAATTTTTTGCGATCGGTTTTCACTGGGTTGAGGGTAAGAATATTGGTATCCGTCATGGGACTCCCCCTGCCCGAGGGGGCTCCACATTGCGCTTTGATTATTCAAACTGTTCCTCGCTGGGACGTGGTTTCCTGAGCCAGAATGTGTCCAACTGGTTTGTCTAGATGTATCCATCGACCCAAGACTTTTCGAACCTACAGGCAAAGCTATACTGTCCCTTGAATCTTGGGGAAATGGAGGGGAGAGGGGGGACGCCTGGGGAGCATCCAGAACAGATGTCCCATAGCTATGATTTAGAGATGGAAGGGAGTTCATTTGGTGTTGTTCGTAGTACAAGTTCTCATTGTTGTTGGCAGTATGATTAGTTTTATACAATTGCTGGTCCCCCATTTTTGGTCACTTCTGTTCCAAACTTACAGGCACACAAACCATTGAAATCTCTATGAACCCTGAGATAGCTGAGTGAGGGGAAGGGAGGGGAAGGGAGAAGAAGCTAGAGTTACTTTTAATTCAACATGTCCACGTGCATCACAAGGACTAAAATTTCCTCCAGTCTGTCAGTAATTCCAATCTCAGACTCGATGTTGTTTCACATCTTCAATAAATGGACCACAGCACAAATCCTACACAGATCACTAAGTTCAGTGTGCCAAGCACCTGCAGAGTAAGAGAAAGACAAGGTAAGTGCTGGCTCTTTCCATAAACTGTTATTGTTATTGCCTCAAAGGAAACTATAAAATCTTCTCGTTTGAAATACATAATCAGATGCAAAATTGTAGCAGCTGGGCTATTTCAGAGCAGTTAGATTACTTCATCTCATCTTATTATCTTGCCTCTTCTCTAGTGCTCTGATAAAATCATTCTGCCAAACCAATAAAAGCTTATTCTTCAAAACTGTCTTTTCCCCTGAAGTATATAAACATTCAAGCAGTTTTAGTTGGCCATATAGTGTGCCCTCATGACTAGTTTTAGTCAGACAGCTGACATCAAGCCAAGTCATAGACTCACAAAATCACAGAATGGCTGGGGTTGGAAAGGACCTCTGCAGATCATCTCTTCAATCCCTTTCTAAAGCAGGTTCACCTGTGCATATCTCCAGAGAAGGAGACTCCACAGCCTCTCTGTGCAGCCTGTTCCAGTGCTCTGACACCCTCAAAGTAAGGATGGATGGATCATATTTAAGAACTTCCTGTGTTTTACCTGCTGCCCCTTGTTCTGTTGCTGGGCAGCACTGAAAAGAGTGTGGTTCCATCCTCTTGATACCTGCCCTTAAGATATTTCTGTGCATTGATAAAATCTCGTTTTCTCTTCTCCAGGCTAAACAGCCCCTCCTCATAAGAGATGCTCCAGTCCTGTTATCACTCCACAGCCCTCCACTGAACTCTTCCCAGTATTTCCTTGCCTTTATTGAACTAGAGAGCCCAGAACTGGACATAGTACTTCAGATGAGGCCCCACTAGGGCAAAAAATCTTGCAGTGCTCCTCCTCATGCTTTCCTGGATACTTTTGGCCTCCTTGGCCATAAGGGCACTGCTGGCTCATGGACAGCTTGCTGTGTACATCACAACTCTCAGGTCCTTCTCCACAATGCTGCCTCCCAGCAGCTGAGCCCTCTGGGTTGCTTTAGGGAGTTATTCTTCCACAGGTACAGGACCCTGAAGCTGCCTTCATGGAACTTCATTAAGATCCTCTCCACCCAAGTCTCCAGTCTGTCCAGCTCTTGCTGAATAGCTACAGAGGCTTCTGGCAAACAGACACTCCTCCCAGTTCTGTATCATCAACAAACTTGCTGAGAGTACGTTCTGTCCCTTCATCCAGATCACTGAGAAATAAGCTGAACAGGGCTGGACCCAGTATTGGCCCCTAGGGAACACCACTCGCAATGGTCCTGCAATCAGACTCTGCACCACTGTCCACAACCCCGGGACCATCCCTTCAGCCAGCTCTCAATCCACCTCACTCATCTGACCCACACCTCCTGAGTTCACCTAGGAGGAGGTTATGGGAGACAGTGTCAAAAGCCTTGCTGAAGTCAAGGTAGGCACTGCTCTCCCCTCATCTATCCACACAGCCAGACATTCCATCACAGAAGGCTATCAGACAGGTCAAGCTATTATTTCTCCTTGGTGAATCCCTGTTGACTACCCTTGATAACCTTCTTTTCCTCCACACCCTTGGAGCTGACATCCAGGATGAGTTGTTTCATCACCTTTCCAGGGATGCAGGTGAGACTGGCTGACCTGGAGTCTGTCTGCTAGATCAAACCAGTCAATTGATATCTTTTCTGACCAGTCACATCAGGAATGCTGAACTCTGACTTCTGTTCTACCTTCTCACCCTTCCTTCTTTGTGTTGAATGATTTTAACAGGCAAATTTATACTGAATGCAGCCTTTATTTTTACTGTATAAACTGTAATTCAAATAACATTTTACAGATGTCTGTATTGTTTTTGAAGAATAAAAAACACATAAGCACATGATAGGATTGTTTTACTACTCCACAATATGAAGCAATCACCGTGTCTACAGTCACACACATGCATCAGGGTACAATATGCTTACGCATTCATAAATACATTTTAAAATACAAGCAGATCCTGAACTTGAACAAGAACACAGAAATATTAAACCTTAACTCTGCCTCCTTCACATCGGATTTTCTGCAGTGCTCTCCACCAAAGACTCCTGCACACTGATGTCCTTACCTTTGTAACCTTAGAAGAATCCTCCATCTACGTGGATAAATGTGAAGTCACTGACGGAGAAAATTTTAACCATTGCTGGATGCAAGGAGAGTTTGTGCTAGCAACAGCGAATAAGGGTAATACATAGCTGCAGGCAGAAAAAAACCTTTTCCATTCTAGCATAATGTATAACAGAAAACCATAGCTCCCAATGAAGAGGGCTTGCAGTGTGTATAGTTTTTGTGTAAACCATCTGCAACCATTAGTATGTAACATCTTCACGTGACAAATAATAGCTGAGAATAATTGCAAGTTTATTTCCCCTTTCCAGAAATATACATTGCTTCACAGTTTCTCTGAACACACTCCCTTCCAGATTTTTATAGATGAACAATTAAAGAAGATAGGAGTCAACAATGAATAGTCAGGCTGCCAACAGGATTTTTCATCCACAATCCAACTTCAAAGACTTCCTATTAAAAATTATGAAGGGAAACTAAACAAACCCTCCACAAAACATTAAAAGGGCATAAAAATAAACACTGTGTGGTGTTTCACACTGGAAGGCCATCAACGTTTAGAGGAAGAGAGGGAACGTGCATCTCTTATTATGCCTGCCAAGTTAAGGAAGCTCAGTCAAGATGCTCAGAACACATTTTCCCATAAAAACAGTACTACTGGATCAATAGCTACACCTTTTGCGTTCCCATTTCACCTATTAACAGACCTGTAATTTACACCAAGTTCCTTGAGTTTGGCCCTTCTTTTTAAAGTCTGAAGTGACAAGTATTAGTCAAAGGACAAGAAACAATACAAACCAGTGAGGGAGAACAAATGTCTCCAGGAAACAATTAAAAGACCACAGGAATTCAAGGAGTAAGAACACTTAGAGTCTTAAGGCAGCAAACAACCTGATTTCATCACAAAACTGTACCAAGGGGCCAACCAGGCCCCTGACCCCTTCTCAGGAGCCATGAGCAGGCAGGAGCACCATGGTGGCAGATGCTGTGGATGGTACCAGCAGCCACAGCTAGTGCTGTAGCCACCACAAAAAGTGCTGTCCCTTGGGCATGCATCGAATTCCACTTACTGCACCCTTTCACCTGTCACAGGTCTCAGGACACTGGAAAGCAGTCAAGAGCTCTTATATCTGTGGCATTAGCACAGACACCTTTTTTCCCCTCTCTCAGAATAAAAATAAAAATTTTAAAATGGTTCATTATAATTTCCTCTCCAGCAGCTCTAGCATCCTCAACTCAGCTCTGGCGTGAGACATGGGACATGCTGCTATCAGGTAGATTACAGAGTTTTCATCAGAGTCATATAGAAACATTTGTAAAAAGCTGAAAAAAAGTATAACGGGGTATTATATTAAAATATAAATCCAGTCACAAAAGGACTGGAATGTTTAGTCACTGTGAGCATCACATTTGAAAAAAAATTGCATTGTTTTCAAACACCCATCTCCCCTCCCCCAAAATAAAAATAAAAGGAAGATGAAAACATTCCTTTCAAAGGCATCACTGATCTAGAGGGAAAAAATGCAAATGTTTAAAAAGCATTGTTATTCTACCTTCAGGTAATAGAAAAAAAAACCCAGATATGCACATTGATAAAAGTATAATCAGTAATCAACCAGTCCCTTAGATACCAAATGGTTTTTTTAGTACTTGAACTAAAGCCCTAAATTCAAGGGCTTGGTGCTGTATACACAGCATTTGCTATCAGCTTTAACAAAATGCTAACAAGTATACATTTCTTGTCAGATTAAAACCAGAGTCTATCATGACATCATTAAGGCTCAGAAGCACCAAAGCTAGTCTCTGGCTAACTGAGAAGCCATTAGCAGCATACTGAATGATTTCCATTTAAGAGAAAGGAAAAAAAGGGTGTTTCTTCTCCTCTGTGTTTAGCACTGCTGCCTAAACACCAATCACTGCCATTTATCACAACAGCCCTGACTACTAAATGGTTAAACTAAACAACTAAACTGGTAGGAGTTTAAAGCAAACACGGTTCTGCAGTTCTGTGTTTCTTCTCCTCCTAACAGCCATTTATGCTACTTAACCTATTACATTTCTGACATTACAGATACATCCCAATTACACAATCATTACAAAGAAACATGAAAATAAATGCCAACAGACAGAAACGTTTCTGTAGGCTGCCTAGGAAGAGAAATACCCTACTTAAGTTTATGGATGAAATCTGGACTCATGCTAATGGTAGTTCAATTGATTTCAACAGAGACAAGGGTTTGCTCCAACTCTTTTCTCATGGTTTCGACAAGGTCCCCTGCAACTTGCACAGCTCCACTCTCCAGACTGAAAGCCAGGGGCCCGCCAAGCTGGCTGAAATGCCTTTACACACTCCAGCTGTCTCCCCCTTCAAACACAAGTAACTGAAAGGCAATACAAATAGTCTCTCCTGGAAGCATGCCATAACTCAATTCTGGTAAGCTTGAAGTGGAAGAAAGTATCAGTCTTCAATAAAGGTGATCCAATTTTTCTCCTTTGCAAACTTTATCTCTGTAGGGCCAGAAGCAGCTGCAGGGTTCTCAGCTCAGGAAGGACATGGACCTGTTGGAGGGAATCCAGAGGAGGCAACCAAGATGCTTAGAGGCATGGAGCACCTGTCCCATGAGAAAATGCTGAGAGAATTGGGATTGTTCAGCCTGGACAAGAAAGGCTTTGCAGTGATCTAATTGTGGCCTTTCAGAACCTGAAGGGAACCTACAAGAACGATGGAGAGGGACTTTTTACAAGAGCATGTAGTGACAGGACAAGGGGGAATGGCTTCAAACTGAAAGAGAGTCTGTTTAGATCAGATACTAGGAAGAAATTTTTTACTGCGAGGGTGATGAGGCACTGGAACAGATTGTCCAGAGAAGCTGCAAATGTCCCATCCCTGCAAGTGTGTAAGGCCAGGCTGGATGGCATTCTGAGCAGCCTGGTCTAGTGGAAGGTGTCCCTGCTGACAGCAGGGGACTAAAATTAGATGGTCTTTAAGATCCCTTCCAACCCAGGCCATTCCATAAACTTAGAGAAGACAACAGGCAGTGAAATACTAAAAAGATGATAAAATAAACACTTCTGGCTCCATCACACACCAGAGAAGCCAAAACCCACAGAATTTTTCAACTCAAGTAAAATTACAGATCAAATGACAGTCACACAATTGAACTGCCTGAATTCACACGAATTTCAGAAGACATCCACTACAAAAGAGTCGATGCATAAAAGTTGGGCTGGGTGTGTGCTGTAAAACCAGAGCTGAATGTCAGTCAGAGCCAGTTTCAGAACTGAGTTAATGGAGAGGGATGACAAAAGACTGTACGAGAGCAAATGCTGAAGGAAGCAGACTCACTAAAGGGCTGTAGAGTTATTACAGCACTAATCTAGCCCATCTCAGTAGGCTGCATGGCTGTGTATCAAAAGGGAATTAGATCCTACAGTTTGTCCAACTTCGTTTTTCAGCTGTCCCTTTAAGCTAAAAATCTACATGCTTTTATAGATTAATTACTAGCTAGCTTGAAAAAAAGAAGACTGGGTAAGATGGCAAAAAGGCCCACACCTGTCCATGTTCAACCAACTTTTGCAGAACAGAGTATCTGCAGCCACTCACATGCAACAGCATCAGCAGATACTCATTTGCTGGGTACCAGCCCTCTCCGTGTCCCTCCTTCCCTCTGGGATGATAAAACATCTGTTAAAGCAAAGTTAAGCACCACCCTTAGCAGCCTAAAGTGTGTTTTATAACACTGAAGGCCTGCTTAGAAATGTGGCATTGCTGTGTGTTCTCATGTTTTAATCGTGCATTACCACCCCTCAGTCACACAGGCTGACAGGGCTCTCTTGAGTCTTTCTGCCACTGGAATATAACCTTCATTCTTAACTTCACCTAATATGAAAGCCAAAATCAAGTTCTCTCTTCCCTTCTTTCATTTAAATTTTTTCCCCTACTTAGCTTCCATAGAAACAAACCAGTGTTTCTCTTATTCATTTTTTTAGCCTTTTTTATGGGAATATTTTTATTGACCTGTTTTGTTATTCAGAACTGTCAGATCTCCTGCCAAGCTATTCCTAAACCAAGACAGCCATCACTCACATCATCTCGCTCTCTGACTTCCTTTAGGATAGACACAGGAATAAACAGCAGCTCCTTCCCTGACAGCCTGCAATTCTGCCAACACCAGTGCCACCACCAGCCCAGCCATGAGCTGACCACAGCCCAGCCTCTAAGCTGGGCACAGACAGGCAGGGTTTTCAGCTGGCCACGACACCACTGTGACCCCACTCAGAGGAGCAGCTCTGAAAAGTAAAGCAATGCTACCCAAGAACAGACCCACCTGCACTGCACACACAGAGCTCTCAGGTGCAAAGCTGGCACTGTCCCTGCATCTTCAGAGTAATGCTGGAAGGCTGAGAAGCACGGAATTAGGAGAGTAAGAGTGGCATATTTCAGAGAGCCCCGTGCTCTTGTGCGTTGTTTAGATACCAGGTTTGCCCTCATAACTTTTCATGCAGCCAGAGTTCAAGCCCCTGCTCTTGGTTTGCTTTTTTTTTTGTTTGTTTTGGGGTTTTTTGTTGTTTTTGGGGGGATTTTTTTGTTTGTTTGTTTGTTTTCTTTTTTTTGTTTTTTTTTTTCTTGTTTGTTTGTTTTATTCTTGGCAAAGAATATAAGCCTGTGGAAAAAAATCAGCATAATAGTCAAAGAGAATGAATAATTTCCAATTCCAGGCAAGGTGGCTGGGTGAAGCAGCAGAAGAGAAAAGGGACAGAGAGGTGAGACAATAACTCAAAGCTCCACCTTTTTTTTTTTTTTCTTTTAAGTATCTATAGAAATTCTGAAGACATCTGATACAGCAATAAAGAGAGGCAGAGACTGAAAGTGAGGGTCAGAGGATATCGGGCTCATGGCTGTTTTGGTTAGAATAAACACTGAAGTAGCAATATGGATTTCAAGGACCAAAAACCTTCCACAGCTGCCTCAAGGACAAATGTTTTTAGGGATGAAAACCTTTTCATCCCAATCCTGGATACAATTGCTTCTATGGTTTCTGCTGCACTTCAGTTTTGGCTGGTTTTGAATGGCAGAGATCTCAAACCCACGCCCGTATCTGCATTCAAACCCAGAGGTTGACGTTTTTAAGCAAAACCAACAACAAAAAACCCACTTCAGTACATGAGAAAGTATGCAAATAGAGGAATTACAAAAGGGAAGAGGATTGAAAGGCAGCAAAATATTTAGTAGACTGATTTTTATAGCAAGCATAGTAAGAAAGCTATATACTCTTAAAATGGAAAAGGAAAAACAGATTAGCTGCTTTTTAATATTAATGCTGGTAGTTCTTCAACAGTTGCACAAATCCTTCAAAAATTATCATTCCCTTTGCAGCTAAGCTTCTGCAGTGCAGTTGGAAAGGCTGCTGAGTCTCATGTGGCTGCTCATTTAAGCTGTTCCCATTTCCACTCTTAAGAGAGACTAGAATGTCCTAATTCAGTTTAATAAAAAACACATTGGACTTGGGGGAGGGGAGAACAACGATGGCACTGGAAGAGGAACCGAGCAATTTCTCTACTTCAATGAAGTTTAAAAAAAGCCAGCCAAAAAAACAAACACCTAACCCAATGAACTCAACAGGAAAAACAACAGTTGATCATCTCAGGAAAGTCTCTAGAAAAAGGGGAGAAGAAAAGAGGAAGACAAACAATCAGAAACATCTTCCTTTTGCTTTGATCTATGTAAAAAATGCGTTCTGAGGCACTGGTAATTTATTGAAAATGGTTTTTCCCCCAAGCTAGCAGAATTCTGGTTATTCAAGAAGAGGAGGCTGATTTATAAAAAAAGCCATTAGCTGAATTTAGTTTAAGGAAGATACAATTTCATGAGTCCCAAAGAAACAAAGAAGGTTGCTTCAACAAATCTGATTATCTTTGCTGTTGGTGAATTGCTGTTACAGTTTCAAGGAACTCTGAAGGGTTCAGAGAACTGCAGCAGAAGCAGGTATCACATTACTTCATAAAAATGGCAAATATAAAATGATGTGATCTCCTCATAATACTGATTAGAAATAGAAATAAAAATAAAATAGAAGCCTTAAGACCAGAAGGGCGCTTGAATTGCATATTCCATGACTAAGCAACTAAAAAGCATACTAAAGACAGCACCAGCTAAAGGGACTGATCACCTATGATATGCACAGTAGTTTTATTTTTTAATATATGCTGATGCTTTACTGCATATTAGATCAAGTGAAACTTGATTTGAAATCTCTTCAGCCAACCTGGGTTTACTGACTGCTTAGTTGAGACAAATTGCTGTCCCTTCTGCCGAGTCCTACATCAAGGGCAATACTCTCAAACACTTCCTGGAAAATAAACACATTCTATCATCAAAATTGTCTTCAGCTTCATATTTTAGTTTACTTCTATTACTGAACTGAGCCACTTGTTATTCCCCAGCAAGATCCTGGTTCTCCAAACATGAAAAGAACTTAGGACAGAGAGGTCAGACCTCATTCAGTTACTGTATATGACTACATTACAACCTCTGGTCACTGCTGTTGATTTGGGGGAGAGGGGGAAATTTTCAAACATTAATCCATCAGCTATTGCTGTGACCACAGCCATGATAAGCCTCCAAGTTTAGTTTAAGGTGAGCACCCTTGTAATGCACTTAAGCAGTTTCCTCCTGACCTCTGCAGTGTTTATGCTCTGCAGAGTGCAATGCGATTGCCTTTTTCTGTAACTGGAAATGCTATGAAACAGTCAAAGAACATATGCTAGGATTTGCAAAAACAGGCAAGGAGGAAACATCCTGAGACAGATAAACAATCAAAAAAACCAAGCACAAGTCATAGTATGTAGAAAATAGCATATGGCTAAGCTTTCAGTGGGGAGTGAGCTATTTTGAGCCTAGTATCTCCCCAAAGGAGAGAGTTTTGAGAAATGCAGCTGCAGGACCCTCTGGGAAGTCCATCCCTCTAAAATACACCATTTTGGTGCCTAGCAAAGGAGCCAAATCAAATCCAATGGCTTAAAAAACCTGACCACCATGGTTGCTGCTTCTTTTTTTCTTAAGTTAATGTCCTTTTGCCTGTATGAGACAATACAGCCAAAGTAGTCCTATAAGATATAAATGTGTATAAATTATATAAATATCTCCTATGTCATACATATTGTGGAACACAAAATAATATTTTAGATACACAGCCAACAACTAACCCAACTTAAGAAGTCCATCAGCAACTCACAGAGACTCAGAAGCTCAAACTTTGAAAAACAGTCAAAAAGCACTGAACCTTATTAAATAAGATAGCCTTTGAAAAACTGGATATACGATGCTCTGACATTACCTGATTTTTGAGGATTTGTGAGATTCTTGTATCTTCTTGTGCTGTCTTTGCCATATGACTTGATGCTGCTTTCATTCTGTGATGTCAAAGTGACGTATCTAAACAAAGCAAAAGAATGTAAATTAGATTTTCCCCACATGTGACTATCTCCCAGCACCAGCTTGCCCCCAAAGCATGAGTAGATTTGTGACAATGAGCTTCCTATTGCAACACAACAAAAAACTAGCTTCTATTCAATACAGTATCTCCAGGTTACTCTATCTTTTAAGTCTCTGTGGCAGTGGGGAACTATCAGCACTCCAACTCCTTTAAAGAACAACCAAGAACCCCTTTCCCTTGTTGATTGTGAGAGACTGCTTCGTTGACAAATCTCTAGGATGGATACATCCACAGACCTTCAAATTACAGACTGAAATACAAGTAAGTGACTCTTTTCTTCTTACTCATCTTGGCGCCTACTGCAAAATGAAGAATGGGTTATGTTGATGCAATAAATAAAACACCTTGCCTCTATTGCAGAGACCATAAGGATTTCACAGGACCTCATGCTGCTGTGACAGAACCCAGAGGCTGGGTGAATGCTCCCTGAAAGGAGATTTGCTAGCCCAGAGCTTGCAACCTACATGAAAAGTATCACACAAACAAGTGCAGGTACAGCAACCAGGAAGGGAGGGATTAATGAAAGTCAAAGATGTGGGAGATACAATCAGGCTGTCACCCAGTGCAGAAGAGGTATCTAGACAAGGCATCTTAAATTACCTAAATGAAAACAACACATCTCTTTTTGTCAATGCTGCTGCCTGGATGGCTTTGAGGGACGACCCTCAGCACCTGAGGGTGTTAAGAACGTTGGCTGAAATCACTGTGAGGCCACTCTATGTGATCTTTGACAAGTCAAGCGGATTGGGGGATATCCCAAAAGACTGGAAGGTGGCCAATGCCACCCCATTCACAAGAAAAGCTTAAAGAGTGACCTGAGAAATTACAGACCCATCAGCCATACTTCAGTCCCTGGGGAAAGTTACAGAACAAATCCTGCAGGGGGTTATCACAAATCAGATGAAGCATGTCATGGGGAAAAGCCAGCATGGATTCACAAAGGGCAAAGTGACACAAGTGCAGTCCCCCATTGCTGAGCCCATTGCTGTTTAACACATTCATAAGTGGTCTGGAAGACAGAATCAAATGTACCCTGATGAAATCTGCCAAAGATACCAAACTAAACGGGGCAGCAGACACTTCAGACGAAGAGCCACCCTGCAGGAAGACCAGAATTGGCTGCAAGAGTGCAGTAACAAGAACCTTAAGGAGTTAAACAAAAACATGCAAGGTCTTCCAGACTGGACCAGGTGGTCCTCGAGGTGCCCTCCTACCTGGTATTCTATGATTCTGTGAAACAGGACTGGAAACTTGGGGTGCAATTCACAGCTCACTGATAGCAGTGGAAAAAGCTTCATTGGCATTGAGCCCTGCTGGGTTTTGGATAGTCATTCCAGGCTTGAGAAGAAAATGTAGCAATGATGACAGATAACCTCAGTGACAGCAAGCAACATTTACTTCCTCTCACTGTCACGCTACATTCACTTGTTAAAATTATTCCTTTACAATCTCTGATCATGGGTCCCAAGCACTGCGATGCTGCCACATACAGCAAGAAGCCACCCCCCAAAGTCCAGCAGATCCTTGCACAGAACAAGTGCCCTCCCTTGGTTATCCAGCAGGGTGGGGGAAAACAACCCAAGCAACTCTCTTGTCCTGCCCAGCATCAGTCTGCTTTCCCCTTCATCCTCCCCCCCAAGCCCAGAGAAAACAGCAGAGAACAATCTGGACCTATCAAAGCATGCACCACGAGAGACAGCAGAGCCCCTTACAAAGCCTGACCTGCCTAAAACATCTTTCTTTAACAGAACTCCTCAGCTGATGGTAAATGCTGGTAGCATCACATGGGTTTTCTTGGATCTAGGTGACTTTCTGATTACAACATTATCGTGTTGAGCCCCAGTAACTAAAACCTGTGTGCACCCATGTCTTGAAACAAACGTGAGCCTAAATGCTGCACGTCCCTGAACACAAACCATTCATCACCCACTTGCATCCTGTCTGCTCACAACTTTTCTAAGCAAATCCATGAATCTCTGTTGAAATAAGGTGTTAATAAACTCATATCTACTTAATGTTTTATCTGACTTGGTTGTCATGCTGCTATTTAAACACCTCTAGGTTTATAAACCTATATATTTATAAGATATTGAATCTTATATTTGACTAAAAATTGAGTACCATTATTTGCAAGAAAAAATACTCATACACACAGAGAAAACCTGAGATTAACATCAGTGGAGCCAAGAGGGAAAATGCTGGGATTTTTTTGCCTCTGTTTAACACAGCTATTTAGAACCTGCCAATACATTTAAATTTAATTTTAAAAATAACTGCTATATCATGAGCCATGACCAAAGTCACAATATATAATTCTGCTTTCTTTGTCATTTATCCATCTGTTCTGAACAAATGATGCTACTATTAAGCCTAAAAGTGCCAAAATATTGTGAAGACAAACCATTCCTGGTCGTTTCCTACAGAGGCCAGGCTGATGGACACTAGGAAAAACAATAACTGAAATACCCAGGAAAGCCTTTTCCTGTTTTTCATATTTGTTCTGGCTGCTTTTCCCACTATATCACTTTCGTCATTAGAGCTACAATACCACCCCTATGCAGGGTTACAGAAATACAGACACATGCAAAGGTCTCATACATAATAACACAGTTAAAAAGTAAAACTCAAGACATGTTAGAGCCAGAGGTACAGAAATGATGGCTGATAAATACTGAAAACAGTCCCAACATAATTAATGCAGGAACAAACACTGCAGACGTACATCAAATTTACAAGTGAGATTTTAATTCTTTCCATCAAATTTTAATCACCATCTCATTTTTTGAGGTTTAGATTAGAAAGCAATCTAACTTTATATTCCTTTGCCATATTCTTCAGTTTTGCTTCCATCCCAGCCTTTAGATTTTGCATACAAAGCACAGTAAGGAGAAGCTGGGAAGTGAAGCCTACAGCAACATTTACAAATTAAGAGCTAAGTCAGAGATCAGCTATCCCATATACACAATATAAATTTTCAGTCTTCTGTCTTCATTAGGATTCATGACGCTGCTGGAAAATAAGGATCACATAAGACCTTTTATGGCAATGTAAAGCACAGATGAATTAGCAGAAAGAGAATGCAGCTGAATCAATTTCTCATCTCAAGATGTAATGGAGGCAATTTCTTGAACTTTACTATGCTTGTAACATATTGATCAGCAAAGCTTCACACTGCAAGTTAAAGTGGGTATTTTCCCAGGAATAAAATGGAGGATGGTAGTAGAACTCTAGGCATCACATCGAAGACAGGGATTTTTTCCAGTGATGTTACACTAAAGAAAAATCAAAGTTTCCACGTGCTTGCATGTTATTGCAACACAGGAGAGGAAGATTTCTAGATGAAAGCTGAATTAGCCCTGCAGGAGCCTTCACAAAGCAAATTTAGAGACAGGACAGGGGAATGGTTTCTAACTGAAAGTGAGTAGGTTTAGATTAGACATTGAGAAGAAATCCTTTCCTGTGAGGGTGCTGAGGCACTGGAACAGGTTGCCCTGATAGTTTGTGGCTTCCCCACCCCTGGAAGAGTTCAAGGCCAGGCTGGATGGAGCAGGCTGGTTTAGTGGGAGGTGTGCTGCCAAGCAGCAAAGCTGGACTCTCTCTATCCGTGCTACACGGCACAGCACAGGTCTGTGGGCACAGTGCACAAAATGTGCACAAAGAATTCCCCCGGCTCCCCCACCTTTGTGTCACAGGTACAGGACTCGTGTCTGGGCACACAGCAGACAACAGGGCTGGCAGTATCATAAAGGCACCCCAAGACACCACGGCAGGTGGGTTGGAACTGGATGACCTTCAAGGTCTCTTCCAACCCAAACCATTCTGTTATTCTGTGATTTACTTAAATGACATTAGCTTCTGCATCATTTGACTTTAAGAACTTAACCAAGGTGTTACAGTTGGGAACTCAGACTTTCTGCAGATCACCAGAGAATCCAAACATGATTCTGAGAATATACCAAAGGGGGGGGGGAAATCATAGTATCGAAGAGCATCTTCTTATCTAAATTGCTTGGTTATGATCAAGCAGAGTTTAATTAGTTTTGCAGCAGAAAAAGGAAAAGTTAGCCATCGTAAGATAAGAAACATATGAACAACAGAGTATGTGTATTAAACAAGCAATATCAACAAAGACTTTAATATCAACGGGCTAAATCAGCAACAAAATAGTTACTAGTACCAGAATTACCATCAATCATATACCATTATTTCAGTTAACACAACTATATCTGAGCAGTCTCTCCTCACATGCTGGAAGTCCTCTCTTAATCATCAGCCTCATGAATTTGTTCCCTTTCCCTGGTCCATGTTCAGCTCCTTGCACCTTCCTAGAAAAACTCTAGGAATTCAGATTCTCTTCTAAGGGCAGGACTTTCCATGCATGCATAATTATTTTTATGTGCTCATTTCTGCATCTTTGAAATGCTTCAGGAATATTGCATGACATTTATTTTCAGAGAAAATGGCTCAGACAAATGGAGCATCTTACAGATGAGGCATTATTCCACAGATAGATCACGAACCCCAAAATTTATTAGTTTTTCACGTGTAGTGTCCGAGGCTTCAGGTGACACAGCACAATATGAGATCATGTTTAAAGTGTCTTTGACTTGAGCTACTGGTCAGCTTCATTCCCATCCACAAAGCAAATGGGTGCTCACATAAAGGAGACCCCCAGTTACACCACGGGCATAACCCAGGAGGTCCTGGCTCCCTCCAGCAGGGCTCAGCTCAGCCCACCCAGGAGAGAATTCCCCTAAACCTCCTGCCACATAACCCCCTCTTGTCCTCTCCTTATTGAACTCGGAGAGCAACCTGGCTGGCAGCACAAGAGCCCCAGGGCTGCTGCAGAACCCATCACCTTCACAGCTCTCCTGCTCACCTCCTTGGAAGGACAGCAGATGCTCACTCCCCATCTCTTTCTTTGAGACATTCATCATTT